CGTCAAAATATGCCTTCTTAAAAAATGTTTGTGGCGGAACTTGCACCAAAAATCAATATTTCATATAAATCATTGTTGAATTGTTAGATTTTGAGTTATATTGTATTCCACACATTTTAGGTGGTCTTAAATAAGTTTTGACTAAAATAATTATTTTTTCTTTTTTTTATATCTGGATGAATTTTAAGAAATAACCACGACTTCTGAATAACATAAGCTATTTTATGTATGTATTTATTTTGTTAGATTAGTTTATTTTTGTTTAGTTTAGTATCTTTTAGTTTACATACATTTACTTTTAGTATCATTTTACTGCTGTTTATTATTTGTATTCACTGTGCATAGTATGAATGAGCTACTCTTTATCACTATTACCATTGTCCTTGAGTGTGGCAGATTGTAATATATCTCAATAAAGAAATTCCTAACATATTTGTGTTTATTTATTTTTAAAATTACTCTGAATTGTTTTCTTCCACTAGGTCTTTTTATTGACATCTTTCTAAATCCCGTAGAACGTGTCCAATCTTGAACGTCCAGGATTCAGACGCTCTTATTGTATTGACCACTAGAACCTTGAGTTTTTCTTTCAGTTGCTTCCTTCTATAAACCAATATTCCATTGACAATATATATATATTTTTATTATAAAAATAGTTACGTATGACCTTTTAGATTAATCTCCTAAAAAAACAAACAAATAAAATACTTTAAATCCCCATAATATGGCTGTTTATAAATACATTCATGTGCAAATAATACAGATATTGAAATTTAAATGTATTCATTAACATATGTAGTTTGTATTAATATGTAATTAAAAAACTATAATGCAGCTAAGACTATAAAGACTATAATCTTTACTACGAAATTCTGTCATAAAATCCTTGAAGCACCTTATTAGTTCGAGATTCTTTTAACATATGCTTTAAAAGCGGATTTCTTGCGGCATTAAAAAGGGTGTTAAATTTCTTTAGATTTTTTTTTTTACTTTATTTTTAGTTCCTATGGACCTAATTTGACTTAATAAGACTATCAAATAAAACATATAATACTATTCAAAAGATATTTTTATAGTTTTTATTATGTTTTCATCCATAAAGTTCAAATAGAGAACTTATATCATCCATGATCTTCATACACTGACAGGCAAAAAATTTCACCCACTTATTTTTTCATGTTCTCATCTAAAAAATATTTGTGCATTGGATTGGTCTATTATTTTTAATGAATAAATAGGTAATCTTTTAGTTTGTTTTCAATTAGGAATGTTAATATAGAGGACAATAACCCTTGATCCTCAATTCAATGAAATGATTCTAGATTCCAATGTTTACTTTCTATGGAATCAAAATGTTTATTCAGTATCATTAGTTCAGTGCCGTTTCTTGCAGCACATTCCTTAGTCTCCGGCTTTAGTGGTGTGGCACTTATTGATGATGGACGTTCCATTAGATATGGAGCTAATGCCATCGGATTTCCATATGAAACTTTACGAGACGCCGTCAGGCGTTTTCGAGAACCAGTTTCCCGAAAACGCCTGACGGAGTCTCTTACAATAGAAGGCCCGGTTTTGGACGGCCTAGGGTAACAGAACCACGGGATGACCGGTTTTTGAATTTGAGAATTTTACGAAACCGGCACCTTACCGTTGTTCAAGCGATTCATCAGCTCGAAGAAGTCCGAGGTGTGCAAATTTCTGAACGTACCGCTCGGAGAAGATTAAATGAGTATGAATTAACGGCTTTTCGTCCAGTAAGACGACCAGAGTTGACCAAAACTCACAGAGTAACACGGCTGGCGTTTGCTTAAGAACACAGTCATTGGACTATGGACGAATGGAGTGCTGTACTTTTTACAGATGAGTCAAGATTCGCTCTTCGATCCGGGCGATACGGGCGAGAAAGGGTGTGGAAAAGAAGAAACGAAAGATATAATTTTTCCCAGAGCCAACCTTTCCAACGTGGTTCCTTAATGGGTAACAATGATATATAAATTGTTAAATATATATATATATATATATATATATATATATATATATATATATATATATATATTCAACAATTTTTTTACACTAAATTAAACTAAGAAGACTGATACTATTTCTAGGGCTTCCAGTGCCCGATGTCGAAACGGGACTGGTAAGTTTGAGAAATACTGACAGCACCTAAACTGCCTCCGATACTGCTCCGGAAGTAAGTAGGGGAGTGAATACGGCAGATAGTAAATAGTGGCAAGGATTCTGATTCCTTTGAAAAATCCTTTAATTTAATTGAAACTATATATGTATTAAAAGTTTTGTTTGAACCCTTTTTGGTCTCCAGCTAAAGCTAGTAAAAAAGTTGGAATTTTCAGCACATTTTTTTTCTAATGATTTCTCCACTACGTAAAGTCATTTTTAAGTTATTCATAGTTAATGGCATTGCTGGTCAAATGTAGAGTTGCCCAAATGCAAGACCGAGACGAGTCTTGATCTTGCAAACTCAGGCTTGGTCATGGTCTTGGTCTTGCGTAAGAGTCTAACAACAATCTTGTTGTTACTTATTAGCTTATTACTATAGAAATATTACTGTAATTTTTTAGATAGGAGAAATCTAACTAAGCCCAAATGAAAAATTAGAGAAGTTAAACGAAAAAGTGTATTGGTTATACCAATTATTAACATATAGTAACTAAGATTGCCAAGTAGTAGTAACTATTTTGCCTTAATTTTTATTTAAAAATAGATTTTTTTTTTTTACCAGTCCGGGTCTTGGTCTTGCAAGAGTTAGGTGGCCTTGGTCTTGGTCTTGCAAAGTGCAAGACTAAAACCGATTTTGGGCAACACTAATCCCGATATAGGTTACTTAAAAAATCAGATACGAACATTTATTTTCTATTAACAGTAAGTATTCAAAATAACAACTTATTTTTGCCAAACAAGTTCTGCCTCTCTGTCCATAATATATAAAATTATTAGATTATAAATATAAATAGGAACAATAGCGTTCACATAAGGAGATAGTGCGTGTGTATACCAAAGTAAATATTTGATTTATGGTGTGGTAATCATAGGCGCGGACTTTTCATTTTGATTGGAGGGGTGATGGTAAAAAAAAAATGGTACTTTATATTGTATGAAAACTTGGCATAAATGTTATGAAACGAAATGGGCCTCCATAACATAGGTATATTTCTGTAACCTTTCCAGCTAAAAATGAAATAGTTAAATAAACTGAAAAAATATTTTTGATTTATAACTTTGCACAACGTTAAAATAAAGATACAATGTTTTCATAGACTGGCTCGTTATGTGAAAATGTCTTTGAAAACATTCTCAATAAAATATATTTATACATATACTTATTAGATTTATTTTCTCAACTTTATCGCAGAAAATCATGTGAAAATGGAGGTGCCCACATGAAAGGTGAATGAATAATAAAATGCTAGGATATGTTTCTATATTATTATACCATAATATAAATGAGAATTTAAATAATAGGAATATTTAGGTCGTGATAAAATAGTTACATACCTACTTCTAGGCATTAGACTAGACAGCTAGTCGAATTTTCTTTTTTCTTAATCAATTTTAATTAATGAAAAAGAAGGGGGCCAAACTATATTCTCACCCCCTCAACATTTTTATGGGGGAGGAAGGGTGCAATTCCTCCTCTCCTCGAAGTCTGCATCTATGATCTATGGAGGCGATCACTTGATTGCCCAGAAGCCATATGAATTGTGGTATTGGTCTGAGTGCAGAAGCATATAAATGACATCCAGATATGAAGTGCCTAATACGAAAAAGCATTATCTCTTATCGGCCTCTATATAAGGCAGGATACCTCCTTTAGATATCAGTGCTGAATCACTTCAACATCTAGGAAGAACATTTAATAATGTAATGATATTTGTATTATCTTAATTTTATTATTACTTATATTATCTTATAAGTCGTATTTATTTATTTGACCTTAACCACATGCGGATCTACATATAGGGGAGGGAAGAGAACTTCAGCCCGAATTAAGAAATTATCTCTAAAATTACTATTGTTCATTTAATTACATCATTATAGGACTTCAAAAGTCACTTAAACACCTATCCATATAGGTAGTTATTTACATTATTTTTCTTCCAAAGTAAGTAATTTTTTTCTTCCAAATAAAAATTAATCTTAGATCCACTAGTTACCTGAACTGTTTTAAATATTGAAGTATGGCTTATCACGATATTTTAAAATACTTAACGCACGTACTTTAATAAAACTCATATTGATTTGGTATCACATAAATTAAAGATTTTTTTTTGTAATTATTATATATTACACTGATAGCGATTTTGCCAAACCAGATCCTGTTGAATCACCCAGTTCAAACAAGAGTGGAAGTTTCATGATTCCTTTTGCGGTCCTGGTAGAGATTTAGCCCAAACCGCTTCTGCTGTTTCGAGAAACTCGTTCCAACGCGATCAGTCAACTCTGTCTCAATTACTAAGACTAGAATTTCTGTTTATTACAAAAATGAATCAAAGTCTCTTTAACTGACTTTGGCAATACCCTCCAGTTTCGTAACTCAAGGAAAATCCTTTTTTTTTTTATGATTCGAGATTCTTAACTTCTGAACTAAAAAGTTTTAGAGCTCTTAATTAATTAATCTCAGCTTTAAAAATTATTTTCAATCTTCACAAAAACTTTTTTAAAGAAATGAACCCTTAACATCTGTCAGCTAAGTTAACTTTATTTTTAATTCAATAAATGAACATTCAGCTAAAAATTACTTTTTAATTAACTAAGTTTTTATCAACGTTGGTTGCATAAGCTTCCTTGAACAAATATGTGATCTTCCATTTCATTTATTTGTTGTGGTTTGGTGTATGGCTTTATGAAAGAAAATAGTGTTTCTGCAGGTTTCACATTTCAATGATTTTTTTTTCTTTTTTTATAATTTTTTGATAATTGATAATTTTTTTCAGGCCCCCATTCAGCTTCTGTAAGAATTTTCGTATCACCTTTGTCTTCGTACATCCGCCAACGCTAGACACATGTCCAGAAGGTTCCAACCATTTTTCTATCATTGCAGAATGGGCGCTTTTAGTCTCCTTTACTCACTGCTATTTTATCTAAATGAGCCTGTAAACAATTGTGACCTGTAAGGGTTCAGAAATCAGCCTTTGAGTCCCTTATTGGTAGGTCGTACCGAGGCAGGTCGAGAGTTCACGTTGTATGAGAAATTCATATATTTTCATATTATAGAAATACATCATAAAAAAAAAAACCTGTATCACTGCAACCCATGAAGGGTCTTGGGTAAGGTAACTAGAGATCCCTCTTTTGGCAGGACATACCTGATTCTTAACAATATGTCCCGCGTCCCGCAGCATTTTGAAAATGGACCGTTTTTAGAAAGAATGCACTTTAAGCTAGGGGACGGCAGGAGAACGCGAAAAGAATATACGGTTTTCGACGCCTATGTAGCTATTTCGCCAGGTTGAGTTTTATATAATTTTTGTTTGTACTATAATGTTATACTTCAATAATAACGAATAATGGTTAAGAACTGATTATCGAGATCTGCTGAGCAAAGCCTTGTTGATCAGTTGTTAGGATTCAACCACCATTGTTTGGATTAAAAAAAAAACATATTGATAAAGAAAAGTGAAATCTTGGGCATCAGAAAATATATTTCATTTACTAATTCGATTACCGAAATCTTGTCACCTTCAATAAGTTTTATAGAATTTTAGAAAAGAGCAAACTTGATTGTGAACAAACTGCTAGCATAAAACATCTAAGTCTTAAAAACTGTATTATTATTAAAGTCATAAATTAGACTTCAAATACATCATCAAATTATTCGCTCTCAAAAATACGCCTTTATAACTAAATACTCAACCTTATTTCAGCTGAATAAGATTTCACCCGATTTGCACCAGATTATCACTATATAAAATTAATTATTGTAACAACCAACTTGGACTACCGTTTGGATTTTTTAACCAAATGTTTAATCAAGAAAATCTTTCCTCCTTTTCCCGGTCAATGATGTCCTCCTTTACCAATATTAAAATCTGGTCACCTTAGTCTTGGGTTCAGTACTTTGTAAGGGACTAATGTTTCTTTTTTAACGGTTAGGCAAAGAGATGAATTGACGAAGATCATGCTCAATCACCAGGTTTCCTCCTCCCCCCCTTCATTAATTGTTTAATTGGGTACCCACTTTATAGAGGGTTGGTGTGCCCCAAGAGCGTCTCCCGTCCCCAAGGTCGATATACGGCCAACGAAACAGAATAAATAATTTATCTTTAACCAGGGATTCGAACCTGGAAATTTGAGCACTAGAAGTCAGTGCCCTACCACTGAGCTACTCCACTCCCATATTCATCATACATTTTCAATTACTTTTTGATGGAAACTTCTATATAGGTAGTAACTAATATTGATAGTAATAGGTAGCAAATATTCCATTTGTAGTATTTTAGTAGTAACTAACGATAATATAAGTCCTATTATATGCATAAATCTGATCTATATGCATTCACTATTTTAATCAACAATTTTCCAAGCATAAAATCATTTATTCTGTGGTATTTTTGGATTCTAACATGACTCAAATAGTTTTGTCAATTATTTTTAATTTTTCTAATCTGATTCCAAAAGCTCTAAGGTTCATAATTTTTTTTTTTTTCTTTACATTACAATAATATGCAACACTACTTATTTCTAGCTTGATATCTGTGCCAACTGAGATGCTGTTTCGAGAATTTCTGATACTCTCAGCTTGCTTGGTCTTGGCAGCCACCAAACGCATACCATTCCATAATGATCCTGAGGAATCAACAGAGGAACCTGATGTGAAAACAACACCGAAACCTGATGTTAAGCCAACACCAAATCCCGACGTTAAACCACCGGAACCCACCATTCCCCCATCCATCATCGACAATCTATTGGAGAACATTCTCTACATACCCATTACAGATATCAGGGGTCAAGTCATTGGATACTACACATACGTAAGGATGTTGTTATATCATACAACATGCACACTTTAATTAATATTACTCTACAGAATAATTAATCTCATTTTAATTAAATGTTCCAAGATTCCGAATTTTCACCAAATTGTTGCCTTCCCATACGGCTTCAATGGGCATATCCTACTGACGCTTCGTCAGAGGGGCCTGATTCCAATTTATGACATTTATGGAAGATTTTGGGGATTCTTTGCTACAGTAAGTATCATTTGTCTATAAAATATTCATAGTAATTTTTAACTAAGTAACGGTTTATTCCAATTAACAAAACCAGATTTATTTATTTTTCTTGGGTATAATTGAATATGTATTTAAGACTAGTTTCATAATTAAAATATAGCAAGGAAAGGGGCTTTTATGGCAGAGATGCTCAGAAAAGGTGGGTATGCCAGGAGATGCCCCACCTCATTTTTTGAGGGGAGCACATGTTTATGTATTTTTGAATGGGGTTTTTGATAGGATTATGAATTTTCGTTGGGAACCATATTTTCATGAGTTTTCAACTGGAGTAACTTTTAAACCAAGCTACAAGGATATAAGAAATAACACACCACATCAATTTTAATTGTATATGAACTGCATTTGTTTTAAGAACTTGTACTTTTTAACAAAAGGAGAACAATAAAATTTCTCATGGAAGGAGGTCATGTGCTATCAACCTTGGAGGGGGTGGGGACATTTGGTTTATAGTGACATTGAAATATTTAATTCAAAGTGTTTCTTTTTTTTTTAGTTACATGACAAACATACAGAGTTTCCAAGCCTAGTCAGCAATTTTCAATAACAGAACCTGCTGTACAGTCTTCAAATAGCTGAAACAATAGCTATAACATTTTTTAAAAACTAGTCAAATTTTTTATCTGCTTACTAAAACTAACAGATCCCTGGCAAAAAAAAAATTGTAAATTTTTTAATTTACATTTAAAAAAATATAAATAAAAAAAAACTTAAAAAAAATAAAATTGTTGCATTGTATATAAAACTTTATAATTACATCCAGGCTTATGTTTATTGCTTAGCTTATGCACTGATTTATTATAATTTATTAGTTATATATTTTCTCCATATTCAATTCATTATTATCACATTAGCATTTTAACTTGTCTTAAACTATTATCATTACTGAATAATAATAAAATCTATTTACAGTCGTTAGGAGGCAGCCAACAGCCAGATGTAAAAACACTCGCAACAAATCTTTTTATACACGGGCTGTATCCAGTTCAAAATGGGAAAGGACAAATAATTGCTATATATAAAATTGTGAGTAATGCAACAAAATATTTATCTTCTATTAGTATTAATATTAGAAAAAAATGTTTATTTAATTAATGTATGTAGAAAGAAAGTTTTATTTTATGTTAACTAAATGGACCAACAGTTTTTCTCCAAGATATTATGATGCATTTTATTAATCGATGCTATGGTTCTGCAAATATACTGACCTCATTAGGTATATCATGTTAATCTACCCATTTATTTCCTACTCTCCATTTCTTCATATTTTGAGGTTTACTGTTCCATTCTACTTTTATATTATGGATCTTTATCACTCTTCTCAATCTGCAGAGTAATAAGGGTATGCAACCAATACACATTCATTTCTACACCATCAAGTCATCAAATGCATGCATTCTTAACATCTGATTCTCTAAGAAATATTAAGATCTCAGGATTTTTCCACATGCTCCATAAAATTACACATAAAGGATTAATAATTTCAGTACTCTTTTTATCCTGTTCTTGAAAAGGAATTAATATTTCTTTTTTCTTATAAAATTGACTGATCTCTTACTAAAAACTGTATTTTTTTTTTGTGAAATACCTTTTGTATTCTCATTGTATGATAAAGATATCATCGGATTTCTAGTAATACTTGAATTATTTTAGTATATAACTCCTATTTCATAACTCAAGTATAATATTTAATTTCTTTCTTTTTACCTTAAACATGAAAATCTGTTAAAAAATATACAAATGGTATGTAAAACGTGCAATATTATTTTTCCTAATAGCTTCATAGTCTTTGCCTTGCCATTTCTTTTAGAATTTTTTTGTGAGTGGAAATTTTCTGACGTATTTTACAATATGGACCACACTCTCAAATTTGAAATTTATAATAGAACATTAGTTTATTTCTGAGGTTGATTACATTAGTATTCTATAATACTTCTCTTTTGATGTATAATAAACTATTTCAATTTGTTTGTGGCATCTGATGTCTCAGGTTCCTGTATTATGGATTTATAAATGTGCCTTTTAGTGGACAAAATGACTAACTCCAATTTCAGATTTTTTTATAATTAATTTTAGTAATATTTCTAGTAGGAAGATTTATATCTTTATTCATAACTCTTTATTTCAACGTAGCTATCACCTACCTACTCTGGAATCAACTTACTCACACTCTATACAAACATTATAAATTTTCCAACTAGAAATAACACTGAAATGACTTTACTCAAAAATGTTGAAATTGGAGTTAGTCATTTTGTCAACTAAAAGGCACATATAATATTCAATTAAATTATTTTATTTGTCATTTAAATTTTTGTTCATTGGAAATTAAGCTTAAATATTTATTTTTAGCATCGTAACTATCCAGCTAGCTACCACATTACTTTTCAACCTAACCAGGAAAAAGTTGTGTAATAGGAGAATTGAAAGTATATAACAGGTATAATATTTTTCAAAAAATACTAAAAATTTTGTATTTAAAAATTATTCAATAGTTTATTTAGTCATGAAATTCAAATAATATTAAATTATAACATAGAAATGAGTGAGTTATTTACAATGAATTTTGTATGGTTAATTTACTGTTAGTAAATATTAATTTTTGTTAAACTTTTTTTAAATTGTACACCTATTTTTTTTTTCAGTACCAGCAGTATTATTGTACCAAAAAGCTCAACTGTAACACACAATCTGGATTTTAACCTTCAACATTTAAATTTAAACTGACTCTTCAACAAAATAAAAATTTTAAATTTTCTTTTGAATTATTATTATTTACTCTTAAATATATTATTTAATTAAACAATATTATTTAATTGAACATATCACTCTTAAAAATATTATTTAAGCATAAATACATGTATTTAAATGAAAAGAAGAGAACAAGTTGTTCTCTAAAAACAGATAATAATAATAAGTGGATAGCCAAGCTGACTGATTTATTTTGATTTATCAGCATTAATAGTTTTACGTAGTAACTAACTTTGAATATTTAAATAAGATTTTAAGAGGTAAAAATAAAAGCATAATTCTGAAAATTTACTTTGAGATCAGGCCACTGCCTTTTTAGTCGTTGTTGAGGCTCACATAGGCTTCCCGACATAGCCATCTAGAGGGAAGAATGAAGAAGAAGAAGAATAGGAACCCTAAGTTTAAAAACCAATATAAACTACCGTAGCCATGTGTTCACTAGCTAAATTCTTTCAGAGCACAATTCTTAACAATTAATTAAGGTGACACTGAAGTAGAAATATTTAATTCTGAACACAAACAATTTTTTAAACTCCTGTCTAGCTTAAGCTTTAAGCTTCCCTACCTTCTATAGTGAAGAAGCAATATAATCATAAAAAATGACTCATTTGTATTTTGATTCCTGTTCGCTTCACAATTATAAAAAGCAATATCTTATAACAAGACTTAATTTACTAATTTACTGAGAGGCCCTTGAATATCAAACTTCGAATTACTTAAGTTATTAATAAAAACATTCCAAAACTGGATTTTAAGCTGATTATATTCCTAGTAGAAGTTTTAATATTTTTTTAATAAACTACTATACTGAAATTCATATAATAAAACACAGATAGAACGTCCACCAAAATTGGTAGCCTTGTGTAAAATAAGTTGTTAATAAAGAAGCTGATTAAAAAAATCATATTGTCATAAACTTTTATACAAACTGATATCAACGCATAATATACACATACTCCCCAGTCCTCCTTAATCCTATCGACGCCTACTGTCACCTCCATGTTGGTGTCACCCATTGAGTCCAATGGGACTCGTGAATGACACAGGCGGGACCACTCGCTTCTATCTTATGATAGTTGCATTGGTCCTACTACACACCCAAGCTAGATTGAGGGTGCTAGAGCTGTGGCTGGGTGGCAGAGGGTGTATACATATATACTGTCTTTTTTTGACCCACTTGGGGCAATAGACGACACCCCATTGTAAGTAGCCAACTGTAGGGAAAGAGGCCAGTACCTACAGTCCATTTACCCCCATACTCGTGGGACCAAAATGAATGAACCAAAAAAGAAAACTTACAAATACGTCAAACTCTTTCTTCCGAGGAAGCTTCTTCTTCCACGGAACACAAATACCTTGACTTTTCTGGAGCCTCTTTAGACATCACCCTCGATGAGGCATCAATGGGAGACATTTTTAGTAGATCTCGAAGGAAGAAAGAAGGAAAGAAGATTAGGAGGGTGAATACAGCCGAGGCTGGAGCTGTTGTCCTACCTCCATAAAACCTTCAAGAAACGGGCCTACCACCAGGCTCAACTGAAGTAAATGTTCAGGTGGTAAGCGGAGGACTGCTCCGAAAGAAACAGTCCCTGCCGCACTGAAACTATTGAAAACAATGAGAAGGCGGCAAAGGAGGAATAGAGTTGCTGCCAAAATCATTTTAAAGGCAAATCCACAATCAGAGCCTACAATAGGGCACTCGGCTAAGGATGCAAGCGCCATCCCAGATCCTGCAAACAAGGAACCTAGTGGTGGGCAGGAAGCTAAGGGTGTAAGATCGGCCAAACATCTTTCAAGGGCCGAATTGCCCACTTCAAAGGTTTCTAAGATATACTTTACCCAAATGGAACCACCCTCTGGACCACCAGATTAAGACATAGGGTCTCTCGAGACCTGATTCCTAAGGCTGCGGAGCTCTCTGGGCTAGCTTCAAAGAAGAGCAAAGGACAAATAACCTCTCTGGACACCACAGCACCTTGTGCCAAGAAACCCAGAGAGAAGTTAGTAAGAGTTATGTCTCAGTCTTAAGAGGTCAGCTGGTTGTAGTGGTTCCTACAAACTATCCGCTAGCCATGCTGAACCGTGAACAAGTAGAGGTACTAAAAGAACTCATCGCTGATAAAGTAGATGAGCTTGATGAAAACGGAGAGCACCACCCACTTTTTGATGGTGTGAGCTAAAAAATGGGGGGAGGTATTGTCTCATGTATGAATGACGAAACATGCACTTGGCTAGTGAAGAGAATTCTGAGCATTAACTTAGTACAGTGTATTACCCTACATATGGGTGATGCTCAGGAACTCACAAGAACCTCCAAGATAGGTACATTCTTTCCAGGGAGCATACTTACTGAGGAGACTTTAATGAAAATATTGAGAATGCAGAACATCAAAATTGATGGTGTCAATGAGTGGTATATGCATTACTTGAAAGAAATTGATAAAGGATTCTTTGTTATTTTCAGAATCCCGGACTTCAGATTAGAAAGCCTTAAGAAATATGGTATGAAGGCTGGCTGTGGCTGGTGTCGTATCACTTTTAAAGTTTTTAAAGAACAGAGTAAAGATAAAACTTCGATACCACAAGAAGAGGAGGAGGTCCTGGAAGGAATCAAAGTTAAAGCTCCTAATTACGGCGGCTCAGAGGACCTGCTGGACATTAAACACCTTGCTAATCTGAAAGGAGCCAGCCACAGGGCGCATGGTGAAATCAGATAGGGGAGCAGAAGCTCTTCCTCCAGGTGAATCCCATTCACCTTCATCAACTATAAAACTAGCCCCTGGAAGAATAAGCATGGCAAAGCGAGCAAAGTCCAGGGTGGACCAGAAGGAGGGAATAAACTGAAGAAGACAGTGAAAACTGTCCACTGGAACCGCCGTACCATCTATAATATACATAGTTTTGGGCAATGGGCACTGGAGGAAACCAGAGGCAGGGGAAATCCTAAAGACTCAGTAAAATCTGGGTTTGAGGGTGAAAGCCTGCCACATTCTGCATCCGGGTGTTCGTCCAACATGTCTATTGAATAACTTATTTAGATGGGGCTGCTACATTAATCTACACTACTGCATTGAGGCAAGTTGAGTACTTATACATTACATTAAAGATGAGGATATTAATATTGTATTAGTCCAAGAACCTTTCTTAAGTAATAACAGGATCATGGGATTGGGAATTACTGGCTATGGAATTATTTCTGGTGCCACCAATCCCCGGGCCTGTATTCTTTATAAAAAAAAAACACTAAAATGACTGGCTCTTTGGCAACTTTGTTCTAGAGATTGGGCTGCAGCCAGATATATAAATAGACTACATTTTGAGTCTAAATTATATAAGAATAACAATATGAAAAATATAGTATTATATGCACCACACTTATTATACGACTAAATTCACTGATTTTTATCTTTTATCATTTTAAATTTAATGAATAATGTGAATAAATATAATATAAAAATTAGACTTAACTCTACTGCTCTAAAATGAAATGAGCAGTATTTATGGTACTTCACTTTTGGTTCGGTTTAAAAAAAGATATGGCAAGTACAATTGTTAACAATCACTTTAATACTTAAATCATTAACTTTTTAGTTACTAATTTTATCATATGTTTTAATACACAGTAGTTTGTGATGATTTCTCTGAAGTATAGAAATTTACAATGAGGTCTACATTCTGAAATGAAGGATTATTCTAAACATTTTTCAAATGAGCACACGTATTGAAGGACATTATATCTGTTAGCAAATTAAGGGCTATTACAAGAGATGTTTTTGTAATGAAAACCAACATAATATCCAAATACAGTGAATGTGTTGGTACACAATGACCTCAAAGCTACTATTTGTAATATTTCCTAGACATTCTCTATTGATTTGACCAGATTGGGCATTTTTATTGAGGTCCATATGTTACTCTCTTTCTTTTTAGCATAGGAGACTGAGAATCTGTGGACTGTGGGTATGAGGTTAATGGTTAGGAAAGGAGGAGCTAATACCAAGTTATTTCCTGTTCTTTCGTTTTTGAGGGAAGCCAATCCTCTTCATCAAGCACAAATAAATTTTTCATCATTTTCTTTTGATACTTACATATTCAAAGGAGTTGCATATAATATACATCTAACTAATAGTTTTTTTTTATTGTTACGTGTGCTATGTGTATGGACAATATTTTTGTACTCCGGCAGCTCATTGAGAAATGCAGGGCGAAGAATAGGGAGCTTCATTTAGCCTTCATTGATCTGGAGCAGGCATATGACAGTGTCCCTAGGGAAAGAATATGGCCAGCACTGAGAAGAGTGGGTATTAATGAATCCACGGTACAAGCAATTCAACACTTGTATAGAAGCGATCTGTACAGAGTGAAGATTGGGAACCGCCTCTCGGAACCGTTTTCTGGAACCAAAGGGCTGAAGCAGGGGTGTTGTATGTCTCCAAGCATTTTCAAGATATACTTGGATGAGGTAGTGAAGCAATGGATGAGACAAAGTCGAGACTATGGAGTGTACTTTGACGACGACGAGCTCCTTACCCTGTTCTTCGCAGACGATAAAGTAGTGATGGCCCGGAAGAAAGTTTTCCTGGAGATGGTGGTTGTACAATTAAAGAAAGCTTATGAAGAGGCAGGTCTCAGGATAAACTTCCAAAAGACTGAGTATATGGCACTGGGAGATGAGGAAGACGACCTACGCATAGGTGAACAAGTATGTAGAAAAGTAAAGGCATTTAAATACCTCGGGTCCTATCTGGACGATTTTGGAAGGTCCGAAGTGGATGTCCGAAACAAGGTAGAGATGGCAAGAAAAGCTACTAGAATGCTGCATCCTGTTCTCTGGAATGACACTATTTCAAACGCGAACAAGCGGCGTATCTTCACGGCTATTGTAGAGTCCATATTAACCTACGGATGTGAGGCATGGTCGATGAATGCTGGCTTGTATGCCAAAATTCGGACTGTAGAAATGGATTTCTGGAGAAGGTGTCTACAGTTAACGAGGCTGGACAGAATCCGAAATGAAGTGGTGAGACAGAGAATAGGTGTAGAGGAGACCGTCTCTGAGAGGATCGGGAAACAGCGATTGAGGTGCTATGGGCACTGCAGGAGAATGTCGGAAGAGCATTGGCTTAACAGAGTCCTGGACTGGCAGAAACTCGGAAAGTGTAGGCGAGGACGACCGAGAACCACGTGGATGGAAGCAGTCCGAGAAGAGATGGCCGGCTGAGGTCTACAGGAGGGTGACTGGGAGGATAGAGATGTGTGGAGCTCTGCTCTGACCTGAAGAGGTATCCCTCGTTGGAACACCGGTAATAAGTAAGTAAATAAGTAAGTTATGAGTGCTTTCAGGTCTCAGCAACTGAAAGTAAGTGGAAACAAATTCAAAAACATTTTAATAACTTACGAAACTTTCCACATTTTGTTGGTTGTATCATCAGGAAACATGTCCTAGTTTATGCAGTACTTTAACTAAAATTTATAAGAGATTATAAAGTGTTCAAGAGCTACTTTACACAACTATATTAGACAATCCAGAAATGAGTCAAGACTGTTGATATTAAAGACCAAAATTTAAATACAATAATGTCTGGGGGCATGATGTTGAAGATAGAGGAGGGGCTTATGTAGAACATCTTACACTGCAATTACCAAGAATGTAAATATGCAACCACGAATTTTCATAGAAAATGCAAGTTTATTGCATGAAAATTTTACCAATTAACTCTTCGATCGTAACGGAAAATAGTTGTAATTTGAGTAACCAAAGGAATACGAACGCACTCGAGCTCGCCAGGAAGATTAGAACACACTTCCATACATAAAATGAGCTTAATATAATACGGACTCTGACAATATTATATAAATATACATAATGTAGTTTTCATAATTGCTATTATTTGATATTATATAGATTACAGCGATATAAATAATAAAATTTGTATATGTAAGTGTACTTAGACAAATAAAAATATCCACAATGAAATATAAATAAATATACCATCTATAATTTTTAATTTCACTTCTCCTTCGTCTGAAAATACCTTTTTCTGTTAAGAAGAGCGTGGTAAGTGAAAGTTGTGCAATGCGCGCACCGAACTAGATTTTTTTTATATATAATACAAATACTTTGAATTATGACTAAGGAGCCACGAGGTTTTAGCTATTAATTGCATAAGAAAGTTGGAAATAAAGTTACCAAATAAAAATAAATCGCTCTAAGTAAAACTGAGTAAGTGTGTGCCCTATTGGTGCAAATTAATTGCGATCACTATGGAGTGAGTATGCACAGTGAATAATATTACATAATGGCAACTACATTAACAATTAGATATATTTATCGTCTAATTCTGTTTTTTTTTATTTACACATCTGGTAAGCAAGAGTACCATGAAAATTATTAATCTGACAAGGATGGTTCAACAAAAAAGTTTGGAAACTGCTGCCATATATAATAGACAAAAGAAAATTGATAGTATGTATAACATAAAACCATGTAAACGGGTAAATCATAAAACAGACTTCTTAAAAAAATGGTTTATTTGGCATACAAAATAAACACAGAAATAACAGTCAACAAAACATTTTATATAATACAATTGTACAGCTCATTTATAAAATACAGATATCTAATAAAATTCAAAATTTTTACAAATTATTGAAATATTTATATATTTATACTTGCTTAATACATTAGTAAGACTGATTTACAAAAATTCATTTTTTAAAATATACACTGTACAGATTTGATAAATCTACGGTCAAAAATAACATTTCAAATCTTAATATATATCAGTTCTGAGAATAGCTCTTTTCATAATTTGAACAAATATTTCTTCAACTTTTTTAGCAAGTGGGAATGGTCTCAGAGGAACGAGATCACCAGGATTTGCCTGGTAACCTTCGTCTGGCCAGGCCCAAGGTCCAGAGATTGATGCTTCAGACCTGGATAAAAGCAAAATATATCACAAAAAAATAAATATAAAAATAATTTTATGATAACAAAAATACAACAAAATAAAAACAAAACGGATGTTCATGCAAAATAAGAAATATGTGAGTATTAATACCTGGCTATTCTTCCTAACTGAAGTAAAAGAGAAACTACATCTTCTGTCAGAGGCGGGAAGGCTTCACAAATTCTAGCAAGGCATTCCAATGTGTTAGAAAACAATTCGGTTCTGCTCTGTTTTGGAAGAACTGAAAATAACACAATAATGGATTGAAAGATAAGTTGATAAACTCAAGTGTTTTTTTACACTAATCATTAAGGATTGATAAAAAATGTACGTCAAGTAAGATCAGTTATAGCTTCCTTACAGTTTTCCTTTGTATATAAATTATATATATTTTTTTTTATACTTTCAATTATTGTAATCTATTTTTTCATGTATATCATATGTAGGTTTTTCCTACTATCAAAATGGATTTCAATTCTCTTAATAGCATTCAAACCACTAGTATATCATGTGTAAGATTACTGCAACCACAAACATGTAATTTATCATTATGAAATGATGTGATAATAAAAAAAATATATAAATAAATAATTAAAAAAAAAAATGCCTTCCACATTTCACAGTCATTATGCTGTTAACAATTATTTATATTAATTTCAATTATTAAATAGAAATCAATTAAATTGATACTAAGTAATTTCTATACTATTCTTCAAATTTTCTCCAAGTTTGGGTCAAATTGAATGAGCAATTTTCAAACTACAGGTGTGCCAAATAATACATTTCCTGATCTGAAAGAGGAAGTATATTTTTAGAAGTAGTGGATAGAATTTGATAAAATTCATACATACTTGATTATCTGCTTACCAATCCTTAAATTTTCTCCAAATTTGACGTGTGGTTTTAGAGATATAGATGTATCAAGGACAACATGTTTGTGCATATATAAGAGAATGTAGAGGTCAGAATTCAATAAGATTTATATTACATTGTATTTTTATTAATACCTACATTTTGTCCGATTTCGATTTAATTTAGTACTAGATTTAATTTGATAAAATGTAGATAGTGATATGCCCGTTACCTTAATTTGACAACAGATAGAGACCGAACCAAATTTGATCCTTGATGTCAGATACGTAAAAAGTGAGTGATAATTTTCGTTTCTGAGCACAAAATTTTTTTTAAACACTCGCATAAAATGAAATGCTTCCCTACCTTTGGTAGGGAAGAAGCAAAATAAATATCAAAATTGATAACAAATTCCAGATTGAATAGATTCATTTATACATACAGTCTGTGGCATAGACCCGTTTTTATCAAATTATTAACATCCGCCTAAAACTTTTTGAATGAGAATGGCTTCTTATCGTAATCTAAAACCTTTTTATGGATGATAATTCTCAGAAGTGGGATATTTTTTCAATAAATTAATTAATTTAATGAGGTACTATAAAATTTCATAAATACAAATTTTCTTTCCATACAAATTTAAGATAATTTTATCACAAAATAAAAAAAAAAAGATGGCCTACAAAAATATTGGAAAATTTGGCCTATATAACCTCGTTATTAAGACATGTTGGTGGTGAAAGTTACACCAAATGGCCCAATATTTTTGTAGACCACCTTTTTCACAGCTTTGGGGTCAAATTATCAAACGATTAAAGAGAACAGCTAATGGATATTCATGAGTTTTTAGTACCTAATAAAACAGACAAAATTTGCTGATCTCCAAATTGAAAACATACAAATTACGAGAATTATTGTAAATAAAACAGTTGGGGGGTTATGATGATATCAAGCTATTCACGAAGTTTTAGCTGGATGTTTATAATTTGATAAAAAAAGGAGTCTGCACCTAATAGGAATATTATATGCACTAAAATTTATCATTAAAAAAAACAACTTACCTGTTAATAGTGTTGATAGTGTATTAATGGCTAATCGTGACACACTAAGGGCTTTAGGCAGTGAATACTGCAATGCCAAATAAGAAGCCAAATCAATGGCAAATACTTGTTTTTCAAGCACAGGCTGACTTAAAAGTTCTGGTATGAAGTCCAGACAAATATGTAGAGAAGGGACGCCAGCGATAGCAACAGGAAGTAGATCCCGAGTGTACCCCTAAAAATAAAAAATATAACAGTTAAGAAAATAGATGCAAATATAATAAAGAAAAAAACACTATAAAAATATTTCAATACAATAGTATATATTTGATTAAATTTTTTTTTTTAACCACTAGATTTGAAAAAAAAAAAAAAATCTGGTATATCCACTAACTTGACTTTCTTACAAATTTCAGACACATTGATTGCTGTCTCTGAAACCTGGCTAAAACCGACAATCTCATCCTCTCAAGTTTCACTCCCTAATTATACCTTACATCACAATAGAGTGAATAGAACCAGTGGCAGATTAGTCCTTTTTGTCCACGATAGCCTGAAATCTAAAATCCTCACGTTGTCTGCTCTTTTCATTTCCACACATATCGAATATATTTTTGCTGAAATATCCACCTACTCATAGCTATTATTACTACTTTGATGAAAAACTCGAGACCATCTTTTACAAACTTATCCCTTCCTACTCTTGTTACTATATTGTTCTTTCCAGAGACATCAACACTAACCTATTATTTCCTTCTTCTGACCAAACCTCCTAATCTAATTCCCTTAATCTGTATATAGTCCCTTACAATCCCATCACACCCAGTCATCTCCTATAACCTTTGTGTTCCGCTGTTCTCTTCCCAACCTATATCTCTTAGAAACCTTAATTTCCTATCATGCAAAATTCTGAAGCCTGATCTTGGGACTTCATATACTCATCTAATTCCGTCAATTTTATGGTAGAAACCCTAACCAGTCATCTGCACATTATCCTGGACCGTCATGGCTCCTCTAAAGTTAGGAAAATCAAGTATCCCCCAGTCCCTTGGCTGACTCCTGTGATAAAAGATTATATTAAACGAAGAGATGCAGCTAGACAGAGGTTTAAACACACAAAATAGAATAAGCTGTATCATAACTAATAATCGTTAATTCTGATGATTTTTTTTTTGTAGGAAATTTAATTATCTTTTTCTGAATTTTCTTGATGATGATTGACAAGACTTTATATAGAAGATTCTAAAAAAGTTTCATTTAAAATTATTAGAGCTGTTTTTACACACTACAGGCGATGGAAAGACATGTTTTTCTCTTATTCCACAGGGAGCGACTCTAATCTCTACAAAAGAAAAATGGAAGCAATAAAAGCGGTCCACTCGTTTCTGAGATCTTGGCACACACAGACAGATCAATGGCTGAAAATGCGTTTTTCAGACTTAGGTTTGCTCTGAAATGTAAACATCCCTTGAAACCGCACATTGGAAAGCAAAAAAAGATCAACAAGTTTTAAGCACTTAAAGTTAGTTATTATATTAATTAAATTATATTAACAAAATAAAGTTACATATAATGTATTGGAAAAAGACTGCCATAATTGAAAAACTAAAAAAAATTAACTTTTGTGTAATCATGATCATTTTGTAGATTATTATTAAGCAATAATGAAAAATTGTTAATTTTTAATTTGCGCCAGTATTCTTATACAGGAGTAATAAATAATACACAAAGGGATCAAAATATATACACAAAGGGTCCGGTGTATAAAATGGGTTAAAATGCATGTGAAGATGAACTAGCCTACAAACCCAAAGGCTTTGGTTTCCATCACCAATAATTAAATAAATCTGCACCTCTTCCCTCAAGTATGTGAGACCCGTCAGTCTACTAGACGCAAATCAAAACCAACTGAGTATAGGAGTAACGATCCTGCACCATGTACTTTAATCAGGACTCAAGATGTGGTTTTCCAGGATGTCAGTAACCCACAGAGGTTTGGTCTATGAATGGTCTTTCAAGAAAAGAAATATAGATCCTCATGCACCTGATTCTAACCCTTAGTCAAACTGACTCTAAGCAGCCATAATTGATGGATCTAGACCGATTTTCCAGTGTCCTTGAACTCAATTGAATCAGTGTGGAGGACTGAATGGCTCCAAAGGGTTCATCTATGAAGCTATGGGTGGCCTCCCGCTGCTTAATGGAGACCTTTGTTCACACAACTGAGAGGTTGGCTTTCTGGCTTTCTCCAGGCTTTCTATGTTCTTGCAAGCAATTTATGTCTTAAAGAAGACCATATCAAGTGACCAAAGATCTACATGGTCTGCGGTCCAAAAAAAAAAAAAAAAAAATTAACTTATATATATTTTTGTTTAAATTTTAAAAAAGATACCAATCTATTAAAAATTATGTTTTGAGTTATGACAGTCTTTTTTCAAAACAAGAGTGATTACATAATTTTGAATTGCAAAAAAATTAATAAATAATAAAAATAGTAATAGTTCACCTGGAAATGAATAAGTTTTGCAAGAGAAGGATCAGCAATAAACCGCTGGTGTAAATAAGAACATATAACACTTCTCACTTCTCGTAGAGCCCATTTTTGACCTCGAACTTCCTGAAATCCAGATCTGGCATATTGGTATATATTACACTTCATTCATTTATAGTGTTATTACACTGAAAATGTGTGTTATTATTGATATTGATATTGATTAATGAATTTTGAAACTCACCATATCTTCATTAGAAAAAAGACATGCTTCCAAAAGAATCTGAACAGCTAAACTATCTTGTGCTGAGACAAGAGCAGATCTCAATTCTTCTCTATCAGTATCGCTGCAGTGCTGGCCTCTGTCCAGAGGATGGTCTAGTATGTGACGGGCTAGCTGACTCTGTGAAGCAGCTAGGCATGATTCAAGAACTCGAAGAACCACACTCAACAGTGGAGCACACCTAAAAGCAAAGTCTATACTTCAAAAACTTTGAAAAATTATTTATAATGCAAAATGTTATACTAAAACACAATCCATGATTAATACAAATGAAAATTATTAAAGATAACAATAAAGAAACCTTAAATATAATTATAACAATTGCTATATTTAAGATGAATGAAATCTCATTTAATAAAATTAACTATATTAATGAAAAATTAGTTCTGACAACAGAAATTAATAGTCATTTCAAATCACTGGATCGATCTAATCTTAAAACAAAGCTATATAAATCTTAAGGGTATTTTAAAAATCAAATAGTTGGCAAGAGTGGAAATAGCAATGAAAAATAAAATAAATTTATTTTATTCTTTTCCATTTATTTAACAGGACTGATCTATAAATGTTATAAAAAATAACATTTTGTTAAGTTCTAGCAGCACAGACACTAAAGGGTTGTAAAATAATTTTAGGCAAAATACTATGGACAGAAAAGGTAGCGTAATAAAGCAATGATGAAAAATTTTAAGAGGTTTTAATTATTACATTTTTTTTAGAACTGAGATTACCAAGAGTGTGACCTAACTTCAGAAGTTGGAATTGAAAAGATGAACAATTTTTAACTGAAAACATAAATAACATAATAAACTTTCTCGGAAAAATTTGGAGATAATTATTAACATTTATCGTTATGTTTTAAGGATATAGACTAAAATTTCCTTATATTTTATTTTATAAATTAAACTAAAATAATGTTTAAAATCATATGTAATTAAAGGTTGATGGCTTCATATAATTTTAATGATAAGTTAAAAATATTACACTGAAGAGCCACCAGGCAAGCATACAAGTGGATATTTATCACACAATAACAATTATGGTTCACTTCTTGTAAGAAGGAAGATTCGAAACATAGAACTTATATTAGGGAGTGAAATGCAACCAAAAATGTTAAAGCTTTTAACATGAAAAATATTAAAAATGAAACGTTTAAAATTCAAAATTTTAAATAATCTAAAAAATAATTATAATTTTTAGACGTTTTCAAAAGACTAAAACAATTTTAAGTAATTCTAAACAGAGACGATATAATATAAAGAATAATGATAAAAATTATAGATTAATATATCAACATATATATCTCATCCGATTTAGTAATCGGTAGTAAACAACGAGATCTTGTATCTTATCATGTTGCATTAACTATGTCTAAAGACTAGCCCAGGCAACGAACTCTGTAATTTATCTCTTCAGAAATTTGAATATTATCGCCCTGAAATGTCAAAAACCTGTCATCGGCGCGCGCTGCTCCGCCATGCGCTCTAACAGACCAGTAAAAATAAATATCTTCTGCTGATAGTTGGAACGGTATGGATTTTACGATATTTTTAGAACTGGCATGGTTACTTTTACTAATTATTTAAGATTGTATTTTTCATGACTTGATTCTACTTCAGTTAAATTGCCATGGCTATTAACAAATGTATATTGGCTAATTCTATATCGAATGATTTAGATTATTAAGGTGATACAGCTGCTTAATTTTTCGTCTACTTCATCGCTAATAAATAAGAATATATCCGGGACCAAGTATCCATTGAAAGAGGCAGTATAATCGATTTCCGCCATGTTGATTATTGGCTGCATGCTAGAGTAGCCTGAACGCATACCTCGTAAAATTATTAAAGATATAAACGAAACGAAACTATATTTTATCTCTGATGTACGAGGTGAACATCATACATCAGATAGAGTGTCATGTGCGAAGTATAAATGCAACACAAAAAGAAAAAACAATAGTTTATCTTTAGAATTAAGATCCGAGAAATCGCCCCAACCATCATATTTATGGCTTTAAAACCTGTAAGAAATTACATAGAAACCTACAACGAATTGAAATAAAATAATCCGAAAATTAATAATAGAGATTGAATAAATAATAACAAGAATAGTAGATACAAAAATGAATTAACTCTCTGGAAATGAAGGTGGCCAACGAGCTTTCTTGTGAGACATTAACATTACATTATATGACAAGTATGACGTGCAGTATCGAGATCGAACTCGTATTCGAGATAGAACTTAATGGCGTTTTTCAAATATATGAACAACAGTCGTAACAGATAATTTTATTTTAGAAAAAAATTTATTTGAATGGAGATACAAATAGCTGAATATAAATTTGGAGACACCATTGACAGCTGCATGGCGAGAAAGCCATCACCAACCATTGGACCAGTGATTGATATGCAAATTCATCTCGACGATAATAATGAAAATGATTCGGCAATCGACAAAGCCGTTGATTTTGGGATTGTGTGTTATGTGCCTCAATAATGTTAAGGTCCACTAATGTTCAGTGCTACTTAGATGGATATACGAATATGTTGGAACAGGACAGCGTAGGTAAGTCCAAAATTCAGACCATAGCCTCTTCTGCGCACTAGCGGATCGAGGATTTAATTTTTGGGGGGCTTCAGCCCGAAATCTTCTTTTTTTCATAAAAAATAACGATAATTACTTTTGAAAAACAGAAAAAACTAACTACCTATATGAAATGGCGTTTAAGTTATTCCTTACGTACTTTTAAATGTAATTACACGAACAATAATACTTTAAGAGGTATTTTTTTTAAAAAATTTCCCATAAAACATGGTTATATTTTTCCATTTTGGGGGGGGAGGGGGCTTCAGCCCGAAAGCTCCCTCTCCCCCCCCCGTAGATCCGTCCGTGCTTCTGCGGATGGATTACTCATCACCTTTAAGTGATTTCGTTAAGGTGGCTTCACTGTGAGCAGAAACCACAAATGATTATATGCGCAACAAATTGGCAATGGTAATAGTGAGCACACACTACTGAAGTTTAGATATTCCGAAGTTGATAAAAAAAGCAATTACATCTATCAGTTGAACCTCTTATGGGTCAGATGTCCTCACACCTTTTCTTGATGTGCTTCGAAACCTTGATGCTTTTAGCGTTCCTGGTACAGTTTGATTCGATCATGTAAAGTTTCTCGATCACTGGATTGTTCTGCATCTAATCTTTCTTTGTGTAAACCATTATTATACTTCAACTAAGAAACGAATCGTAGGAAGATTACAGATCGAGATTTTATGTAGTTGATTTAATAGAGAATTTAAAACAAGACCTATGTTTAAACTGACTATAATCAATTGACGCTGATGTTTTCATCAATAGTACTGACACGATATGTCAATTAAAATTCGAATTACGTCGTAGCTACATCAAGTCAGAAGTTACCTTATGCGGAAGTCATACGAATTGGCAAATAAACCAAATGTCTAATACGTGCGATAGCGATAATTGTTAGTCTCTGAGTTGTCGTGCTTTGCCCTAGGAGCATGAAGTGAGATGTCATAACCTTTGAGGTAATTTTAAAATAAACTCACGAAATTGAAGTTTTAATGAAACGTGATTTGGACGCCTCAGATAACCTGAATGTTTTGCGTTCAAAACATCACACCAACCACCTAAACGTGATTCCAGAACATATGAATGATCAACTAGTTAGGTCAGAACTGTTTTGTTTTTTTAAGTTGACATGATCCAGCTGAAACGGATCTATCTAGTGCTAAAATAATTATAGGTAAGTTTGTATTACTTTTATAACTTCGATATATCAAATAGAAACACGGTTAAAAACAAAAATAACGATTTACACCATAAATGGAAATGGATATATGAAGCGTTCACTTTTTTACTTCTATTAATCTATATATGAAATACAGAGAAAGTGAAAATAATGCAATCGTGAGAAATTTCGAATCGGAGTTTTCAGCGGAAATAAACGTTTTGAGGTCCACTGAGTAACCAAGTCTCATACAATGACATGGAGTAAGTGAACAGTTCGACTCAAAAACGAAAAGTTGTGCAAAACTGAAATTATAATTTATGGTAAATACTTGGGCATGGGCGTAGGCAAGGGAGGGGCATTGGCCATACTAAAACATAATATAATACAAAAGGAAACGTTGGCTTTTAATAAAATAGTTTTGCCACCATTTAGCCTATTTATGACTGCCATCCTGGACCATCTCCTTCCTTTATAATACAAAAGGTTTGCCGAAAATTCGAGGAAATTTGTTCTATGTATATATTGTGTTTCATAAAAATACACAAAAAATAATTAATAGCTTCTTATGGTTGATAAAAATTTCCGGGAATATACGAATGAATGAAAATAATTTTATTATTCTGGGACTAGTGTCCCTTTAGAACAAGTTACAAGTACAGAACATACATTAATATTCTGGTGTGTCCATAAAATACAATTAAATATTTACAGGATAATTAGGAATACAATAAAATTATAGATAATAAAAAGATATAAAAACGTGTATAAATATAAAATAAATAGAGAAAGTAAATTAAGTAAACAAAATATCAATGAACCACAAAATAATCAAAGTATCTGGGTGTATTTTGTGATCAATCGGATTAGGAATGCAGTAGGTGTTTGAAGAGGCGAGATTTGAAAGAGGATATTGACAGTGCATGATAGAGGAAGGGAGGTCATTGATGTAGATGAAAAAGGAGGTAGGGGGTTAAAGATGAACCTTGTGGGACGCCTCTGGACAGAGGTAGAGGGTTATTAGGAACTACAACGTACTGGGAGCGATCGGTGAGAAAGGATTGGAAACACTTAAGGGCACTAGATGATAAGGAAATATTTTTAAGTATGGTTAGGAGGATATTATGGTCAACTGAGTTGAATGCTTTACAGAAATCAAGAAGGATCAGGATGGTGAGTTTCTGTTGGTTTATGGCTGTGTGGAGTTATTGGACGATTTTAATGAGGGCAGAATGAGTGGAGTAGTCAGGTCTAAAACCAGACTGGAAGTAGTTCAAATGGTTATTTTGTTCGGGATATTGGGATAGTTGGGATTGTACTATTCGTTCTAAAGGTTTGGAAAGGTTAGATAACAGGGGAAATTGGACACAAATCATTAGGAGTTGTGGGATTAGAGATTCTGTTCAGTGGATGAACAAGGGCAGTTTTCCAGGCGCTGTGAAAAGTGGAACTTTGTAGTGAAAAATTATAGATATGATAAAGGATTGGGAAAATGGATGGAAGTGAGGATTTAATTAATTTAACTGAGATATTATCTGGCCTGAAATCTTTGGTTTGGGATTTACAAATGGATTTAAGGAGGTTGTCAGGGGTAATGTGCGAAAAGAAAAAATGATTGGGATTAAAGGGGGGATGCATGAGGGGTGTAACTGGTGCTTGGACAGAGGGATCGGATGAACAGGAGACAAAATGAGTGTTGAGAGTACGTCAGATAAAATTGATACAATTTTTTATCACAGGCGCCAACCAAGGGGCTGTGGGATACTTGATTGTCCTGACTTTAAGAAGAGCATGACGGTCTAGGATAATATGTAGTTGATTGGTTATGAGGAGGTGAATATTTCAACAAAAAGATATTCGATATGTGGGAAGGCGGAAAAAGATTGACAGAGCAAGAGTTTTGGATTTCAGTCTATCATGGAAAAAAATGGCTACTCCGCCTCTGGTTCTATTTTCTCTATCATGAGGGAGTAGGGTATAGTAAGGGAGTAAAACTTGAGAGGATGTGATCGTGGGTTTTAGCCAAGTTTCAGAGACAGCGATTAGGTGGTAGAAGTTGTGGAGGAAGAAATCATGGAATTCATCTTTGTGGGCTAAAAGTGGCTGTGCGTTGACATGACAGGATAATAGGACATTAGTCATAAGAGATGGTAGACTGGGACAGTGAATCGGTAGAAGGAGCAAAAGATAAGGAAATAATTAGGTTGGATTGGTCCGAGATATACTATAGATGCTGAAACATTAATAACAAAACTATTGAAAAGTAAAAACTAGAAAAACTAGGTAGAAGAAATAATCCAGATAATATCCTATAATCAATGGAGATAAGAAACAAAAGAACAGTAGATCCATATAAATAGAAAACAAAAATATACTCTGACGAAAAATGAGCAATAATACTAATAAAACTCTGCAATATACACATAAACAAAATTGAAAGAAATATTGAAGTTATAGAAGTTAAGTAAACAGAAGAAAGTAGCTAGAAAACGAGGTGGTGGGTTGGAGGAACGAGAGCAGAGAAGTCAAGCAAAGACATCAAGATCAGAAGGTGAATTTACAACGACTACGGGCTGACTGTCGGTTCGTCTATACTTCACTTTGCCGTCACCAAACCAAACATATTTTATTTTTCCAGCCGCCTTCTTTTGTCTTTTTTATATATATATATATATATATATATATATATATATATATATATATACAAATTTTTGTTTTAGATTACATACTGGTAACTTGAATGATGCAGCAAGAAAATGAAAGACCAATAGTAGGAATATTGGCACAAGAAGTATCAGATATTATAAGCAAAAAATATCCATACAGTAAAAGCTATATCGCTGCATCTTATGTAAAAGCTGTTGAAGGATCTGGAGCAAGAGTGATTCCAATTTTTATAAACAAAAATGAAGCTTACTACAGGTATGAAATAATTGTTGAAATAGAAAATTTGAAAAATAAATAAATAAACTAAGTAAACAAATACAATTTTTGAAAGTGACTGTAAAATGTATAAACAAGGCTTGAATAAATTATATGAAAAAAATTTAATTCAAGCATCAGGAGCACCACTTGAATGCCATGAGGGGAATACAGGTAGTCACTTTGTTTTTCAAAATTGAGTTACTGGTGGATTGAATTAGATGAAGGGAAATACTACAATACTATCAGATGTACTATGCAAAAGATCAACTATTATTTCTGTTTAAAAATGGGGTCATTTGCAGATTAGCTCCATCAGTTATTTTTTAATAGTAACCTCGTTATTTTACATGATTCAAGAACAACATATAATATCGAAAGCTTTAATTATAATTAAACTAATTCAAAATTTTTTCTCTTTGAAAAAACAATATTGATATTTAGCAATATTGTCTTAAACAAATCTTTTCCGTGATGTCTTCTTCACCAAAACAAAGTCACATAGATAGAATGTGCATAACACTTCCACCTGTCATATGCACCATTTCTTTCTATGAGTTTCATTAGGCATCCTTTATTACAGAAGCGCTCGTTATTAATAATTCAAGCTTCCTGATAAAACTTAAAGGTTACTCTCTCACCGCTATTCAAACTTAAGAATAACCTAAAGGAGTTCAATTTGCTAACTAAATGAATCTGTTAATATATTGTAACGTTCCTCTTTCCCTCCAAAATCAAACGAGTTTTCTTTTCCAATAAACTTTTTATTTTGACATATAACATAAATCTCAGGTTGGGTTCTGACAACTGAACACTCATTCAACATTAAATAACTATAATCTACACTAATTTACTAATTACTAACTACACTTATATATAATTTAAAATAATGAAGAGAAGAATAGTTGGGGTGCTCAGTCAAAAAAGGAAGGCAAAAATAAATTATAATATTTATTTTTTACATCTGCCGACGTTTCGACCTGAAGTTCAGGCCGTCATCAGGGCTAAGAAAATAACCAGATAACAAGGTATGAGAAACTTAAGTAATGATGGTAAAAAACCATTTTTTTTTTACCATCATTACTTAAGTTTCTCATACCTTGTTATCTGGTTATTTTCTTAGCCCTGATGATGGCCTGAACTTCAGGTCGAAACGTCGGCAGATGTAAAACATAAATATTATAATTTATTTTTGCCTTCCTTTTTTGACTGAGCACCCCAACTATTCTTCTCTTCATTATCCACGACAGTCAACCAATTACCAATTATAATTTAAAATAGTTTTATAAAATAATTTGTCCCGGTCTAAACTTTTGGTTCTATCCCTCTGTCACATAAATGGCATTGTTAGCACTCACCCAAATGTTTACGCCTGTCAGCGAAATAATCTCTTCTTACGAATGTCCCGTTTTCTGTACCACTTAATTCTTTTCTGCTATGTTTTTCTTCCAACATAAAATAATCTCCACTAGTGGCCTTTATCAACACTCGAACCGGCTAGGACTCCTTTTTCACCTTCTCACTTGGCAGCTCATCACCTTCCCTCTTGACAGCTTGTCACATTATGCCTTGGCAGCTCATAACCTCCCCTCTTGGCGGCCCGTCACATTCTCTCCTGGCGGCCCGTCACATTCTGAGTTACATGAGGCTTGCTTCCCCCACTTCCTCCCCGTAGTTCGCGGCGTTACCACCCTCGCGCCACTATTCAAATGCCATGTAATGTTGACATTACAATATGTTCATATAATAGGAAAATAATAACATTGATTCAAATATAACAGATACTATTCCTGTTTAAAAATAACTGGTGGGGCTAATCTACAAAAGAAACATAAATACAAGCAAGGAATAAATAAACTATGTCTCAGTTTAAATCTAAATCAAGAATTTTAGACACTAGTAACTTATCTGTATGACATGCTGCAACGTATATACAAAATAACAAAAAAAAAAAATAAATAAAAAGAATTTTAGACACCTGTTTTCCATCAGTGGTCTTCAATCATGGCTGCCATCACATTGATACACTTTGGTTTGTAATTGCAAAACTTATTATATAGATGGAAAAATTTTAAGGAAATAAATCTTTTTTAGAGATATTATACGTTCAATAAACGGATTAGTTCTACCAGGCGGAAATGTCTGGTTTTATGAATTTGATGATAAAACACCAAAAGAAAATGGATACTTAAGAGCTAGTGAAATACTCTATGAAGAAATAAAAAAGGTAATTTTCATTAGAATAAATGCAGATGTTAAGAAGTTTTGTTGCACCATTATAAACAATGACCCATGAAAGATCTGGGGTTCAAAACTGGGTAAGGAAGTATTGCTTTGAGGTTAACTGCTCTATTGTGACACTTCATAGCTATTACAGTGATTTAACTAGGACCATCCTATCCTCAAATGCCAGGTTTTCTCCCACTTAAAGTTATTCAATTTATAGAAAATAGGTGTGCTCCCCAGTCAATCCATGACTGATATAAAATTGTAAATAATTATCTACCTGGGCTAGACTTGCACCTGGGCTGAGAAGATATGGGCACAATATCTTACCCACAATTAAACCATTGTTTATCATTAATAACAAATTATTATTATATAATAAGATTGATAATTTATTAAACACAATTTTTAATAATTGATTTAACTAAAGCCTTTTAATCTTATATCATAAGTCTTTAAATCTTAGTAATTTAACACAAATAAAAATACTTTGAAAAGCAAAAGTTGGTTATATATATATATATATATATTATCAATTTTTGTCAATCACCTTTGAGTATTAAATTTAAACTTAACTATTTAAGAGTAGCTTAATATATGTGCTAGTGGACAGTGCTGAGACTGTCGGTGTATCCCTGGCCTGATCGAAGCTCTATTTTTTAAAATTCTAGCTTCGAAGAGGATCCCATCGTTGACTAATAAAAAGAAAATACCGGGATCGAAACGTCAATGAACAGAAGAAATGAACATTCAATAGTTTATTAAATTATTAATAAGTGACCTTATTCCCAATTAAATAGTTAAGTTTAAATATATATATATATGGGGAGCGGGGTAGCTCAGTGGTAGGGCACTGAGCTTCCAATGCAAAGGTTCCGAGTTCGAACCCCGGCTCATGGCAGAAAATTTATTTATCTGTTTCATTGGTCGTGGGGCGACCTTGGGTCAGAAGTCCCTCCTGGGGCACACCCAGCCTCTATAAAGTGGATACCCTTAATTATATAGTTAATTAGGGGGGAAAACCTGGCGGTTGAGCTTGATCTCTGTCAAATCACCTCCTTGCACAACCGTGGACCTAAAAACAGTGCTTTCCCTAAATAGTACTGAACCCCAGACCCTTTATGGGTTGTAAAGGTACAGGTTTATATATATATATATATAGAGAGAGAGAGAGAGAAAGAGAAATTAATATGTTTTATGTTACCAGAGAAACAAAGAAAACAAAGAAAATTTTCCAATTCTTGGAATATGTCTAGGACTTGAAGTTATGCTTTTTATTGAAGCAGATAAAAAAGAATGCAGAGATACTTGTAGACCGAATCACTCAATAATGTCATTAGACTTGTGTTTGGGTTACGATGAGAGCAGATTGTTTAAAAATATGAATGAAACAGAAAAGAATATTGTAGACATTTTGCAAAAACCTATGCATTACTTTAGTCACCAGTAAGTACTTTTATAGCTATATCAGAATATCTTTATCAATTTAGTTATCAACTTGTGTTAGTTTACCTGAATCAATAAACAACCTTTCGTGAGTAATTATCAGAAAAATTTGATTTCATATAATACTGTGAGTGGAAGGTCAGATTTTATCCTAAAGACCCACAATGTTTACAAATAGAAAATATCAACTCATTTGCTCATTGTGATTACGTTATATCTGTATTATAAATAACAGCTATTTACCTCTACTTAAAATGTTTATAATTTTAAAATTAGTAAGTTAAATGTTAATATTTCTTAAAGTGTACTACTATAAAAAAAAATTAGAAAATTAAGACAACCTGATATTTTTTTCTATTTGCATTACAGACCATGTAGGTCTTTTGTCGCCTTAACAAGCCTGCTCCATCTCTGCCTGTCTTGGGCTATTTATTTTCATTTATCTGCATACAGATCTGTTGCATCTTTGTTGATTCTATCTATACATCTGCTTTTTGGGCTCACACATGGTATTTTTCCTTCTATTGAGGCATTCATTGTTGCATAGAGGCTTCCAATTGGATTGCTACGAGCTAAACACCCTGCCCATCTTAACCTCCGTGCCTCCATATCATGGGAAATTGATTGACCAGTTTTTGTAAGTAGTTCTTTATTGGACTTTCTTCTCAATGTGTTAGTACCCAGATCGCTCCGGTTATCGTGTGGAGGATTTTCCTCTCAAATCTTTCAACAGTTTTTTCTAGAGCACTGGTTAGTGTCCAGGTCTCACAGCCATATATTAGAGCTGAATTTATCATAGCATTGTACACCTTTAGTTTGAGATTTTCCAGGATTTCAATACCTTTTAGAGGGAGAAGAAAGCTCTGTTTGCGCTAGTTATAAGCTGGTCTATTTCTCCCGTTGGTTATTCATTGAGAGGTTTTTGTGGAGCTGAGGTATTTGGATGTTTCAACTCTCGGGAATGATTTTTCTTCTACACAGATCCTGTTATTGGGGTGGAATTTTCAGCTTATTATCATATATTTTGTTTTGAATACATTTACTTGTAGGCCGATCTGCTCTGCCTCTCTTATCAACTTTCTCAATGTCTTCTTGATTACTTCCAAGGACAGCTATATCACCCTCATTATTATTAATTCCTAGAACCCCTTAAGTGGAAAATGGGGCAGTCATGAAGTTCTGCAAGGCATCTTGTTCTCTAGGTACTTCCTGGACTCCAGACCAGGTCTTTCGGGCACTGCACATTTCCTTCTCTAAATTTCTCTAGGCTTTCTGTGCCTTTGCTACCCTTGGAGGTTTTCCTCTAGACTCTGCCGGATTAGATCATTGTGCTCCTTTCCAATTGTATGTCCCAGCCATCCCCATTTTTGACTTTTAATGATCTGATCTGTAGAGGCTTCACAACAAGAGCCCAGAATTAGAGATCGTGGCAGGCCACCATAGTTACAATATATTTTGCTGATATCTATTAAGATATGTCTTTAGCTTCTTGGTCACCTGTTTGGTAACTTTTAAAGTCTTGCAAGTATGCAGCAGAAATGCCATAACATTTGTTTTTAAAATATGCAGCTTGGTTTCCCTTCTTATTTTCTGGGTTTTCCACACTGAGCAGAGCTGTGAGAATGCTTTTCTTTATACAGCTACCGAAATCTTCACCAGTCTCCCCCCTCCCTCCCCATCCTGGTTCACTATACTCCCTAGGGAGCAGAATTTATTAACCTTTTCAATAATTTGATCCTCTTTAACACAATTTTCCTTACTCCTACTGTTCACTCGCATCTCTTTCATTTTACTAGCATTTATAGAGGCCGGTGCTTTGAACATCCTCTTGGAGTTCATTTAGCTTCTCCTGCGTTCCCTGAAACTTTGGGCAAAATAAAAAAGCCATCTAAGACCAGATCTTCGAGTCTTTCCATGAGCCTCCATTGAAGTTTCACTGAATTCTTAACTCTCATAATACACAATAAAAAAAAATCATTGGGGACATAAAAAATTATTTTGATTTTAGAAGATTTATAAACATTATCATTCACAGAGGAGTTCATCGTTAAAGTGAGAAATAGAAAATAACTTTATTCTGGGACAAAGTCCCTTGAGAATAACAAATTAGAACAAAATTAAAAGATTACCTCTGGCCTAAATAAAAATGTAAAGAAAATATAAGGTAAACATGCGATATACAAAACAAATTAAACTATATACAAAACACTTAAAACTAATTGCAGTGATAAACCAGTATGAATGTACACTTTTAAGAAAATAATAAAGAAAAAATAAAAGTATATCAATTTCTTCCTTAAAATAAGCTTTGTGTATCTGTTGAGAAAAGAGAAAGTTGGACCTGACAATGCAAAGTGCTTCAGTAATACATAAATGCATTATCATTTAAATGTTGAATAATATATAACTACATCATCATCATTTCTTAACGTAACGATAGGCAAGAATTTAATGGTGTATAAAAGATAATAGTTATCAACAAACAATAGATATGTTCAGTGGCATCAAGAGTAGGCGTAAGAAGGAAGATGATTATTGATGATTTGATAGAGGAACATATCTAGGAAATACTGTCTTCGGAAAGAGAGGAAAAGCCACCTTAACTTAGTGTAGTGATGAGAGACATGGGAGCATCTTGGTGCCCCAATTACAAATCTTACACAGCTGTTCTTATAGTCTTTTCAGTCTATCACAGAGCTCCACAGAGAGGCCATCATAAACCACACAATTGTAGTCAAAGTGGAGGAATATGAGAGAGGAATCTCATATGGTGAGTTAATAGATGGCAGAAGCGATGGAATAGTTTGAGGGTGGAAATTGTCTGTCGAGAGATGTGAGAAATATGGTGACTCGAGGAGAGGTTTTGATGAATGAAAAATCCTAAATTTTTAGTGGTAGTAGAAGAAATAAATTGGCTGGTCATTAAGGTATAATATGGGAAAGTCGGTTTGGGATCTAAGAAGGAGCTTGGAACCAATGACAATGGCCTGAGTTTTGGCAGCATTCAATCTTAATCTGTTTACATTTCCCCAAGCACTGATCCGATCTAGGTCTTCTCGAATCTTGGCAAATGCTACCAATAACTCAGGGGGAGAAAAGGATAGGTAGATCTGAGAATCGTCTCCATAAAGGTGGTGGGAACAATGGAGAATTGATTTATGTAGGTCGTTAATTTAGGAGCTGAAAAGAAGAGGAGATATGCTTGAATCCAGGGCAACTCCAGAGGATAAAGAAAGGTAGGCAGATAGTGGTTGATTGAGTATGGAGACTGCTTGGGAACATTGTGAGAGGAAAGATTGAAACCAAGAGATGGAACTATTGGAGAAGCATAATAATTTTTTTTTTTTTTTTTAAACTTTTATTATATTTACAACTGTATTAGTATGAATACATCTAGTAAATTATAATAATTTTAGTTTGTTGAAAAGGATGGAATGGTTAATGGAATCGAAGGCTTTGGAGAAGTTGAGAAGGATAAGAGTAGTTAATTTTTTATCATCTATAGCAGTTTGAATATCGCTGGTGATTTTAATTAAGGCGGATTGTGTGTAGTAGCTGGGATGGAAACCAGGTTAGAGAGAATCAAGTTGGTTGGACTTTTCAAGGAAGTTGGAAACTTGGGATTGCACCAATCTTTCTAGGGGTTTTGAGAGGTTGGAAAGAATTGAGATTGGGCGGAAGTCTTCGGGAGATGTCACATTAGAATTTTTATTCAAATTAATGACAATAGATTTTTCCAAGAGGTAGGGAATACTGAATTCTGAAGGGAGAAATTGTAGATGATAAGGAGAACTGGGAGGATTTCAGGGAGAAATAATTTTATTAATTTGACAGGGATGCCATCTGGTCCTATGGAATTGGTGTGGGGTTTCATTATAGCGGTTAAAAGGTCTGTGTGAGAAATGTCAGAAAAATAAAAGTTATTGTTGTTAAATGATTTCTCTGGAGAAAAGCCGGAAGAGGAGAGTGGAGGAGAGATATTAGCAACAGATATAAAATGCGAGTTTAGATCACCAGGGGATATTGGAAAGGCTAAGGTAGGGGATCTGGAAGGATCACAAAGAGAAAGTTTACGAAGCAGTAGCCATTTTGATTTGATATAAGGAGTTGAGGAAAGGACTTTATGGAAGTAGAGAGATTTTGCACGTCAGATCCTTGTCTGTGTCAAACACTGAACGCTTGGTAGTCATCGGCAAGCCTGGTACGTCAAAAGCATCTACGGGCAGTGTCGTGCCTCTTCTGCAGATCTTTAATTTCCTGACACATCCAAGAAGCAGGCCGGTGACAAAAGGTAGAGGTTTTGAGAAGGGCATGGATATTAATGAGATTGGTAGTAAGCATATCAACCATAGAGTCGATAGAAGAGCAAGAATATATTCCGTTCCAATCTAGGATTTCCAGGTCAGGTAATATTTTTTCTAGCATAAGGGTATCTAGATGGCAGAAGGTGATAGTTCGAGGCTGGATCGTAGGAGTTCGGATAGTATACATTATTTGTATCAGATCGTGAGATGATAAAAAGGATACTGGCAGTTCGGAAGAGGAGGGCAGGTTTTGTGCAGAGTCTATAATGTAGAAATTTAGCCAAGTGTCAGACCTGCTAGTATGGTGAATGGGAGAAAAAGGAACGATGAAAAGGTGAAAGGAGAAGAATAGGTCTTCTAGATAGGATTTGTCATTGGAGTTAAAAAGGAAATTGGTATTCAGGTCAGCCGGAGATGATTATTCTGGGATAGAGGGGAACAAAATTCAATAAGGTAGACTCAAAGGACGGGTCAAATGGAATAAGAGGAGGATGATATACCACAGCGTAAAGGAGAGGTTAAGTATTACAGAAGATTTCTACTAATAGGTATTCAATTTGTGGGTGGTTGGAAGGTGGGGATAAATCAAGGATTCGGATCTTCAGGCTATTGTGTACAAATATAACTAGTTCACCGCCAGTCCGGTTTACCCGGTCATAACGATGGAGGGTGTAACTAAGCAGACAGAAGAGGGGATATAAGGTTTAAGCCACGTTTCGGAGATAGCTATAATATGATAAACATTTTGAGTGAAATATTGCAGGAATTCGTCATAGAGAGCAGGGAGGGATTGAGAGTTAACATGGCAGGTGATTAGGGTACTAGACATGAAAATGATTTGGAGGGAAACAGTCAGAGTTTGGTAGAGAAACAATAAAACAAATAAAAAATACAGAAAAGCTATTAGAATTAATAAAAATGAGAAAACAGAAAGTGTATACAAAAACAAAAAATAAAAAAACATGTAGTTATATAGATTAATGTATAATAGTGAAGAGATAGCTCCACGAGTAGAAGCGAATATATTTCTTTAAAGAAAATTTTATTAGCAGTTGTTTTGATAAGGATGAGGGGTAGATGAATTCTATGTAGTCAGGCAAATATATCGAGGTCTGAGACCTGTTCGATCAGGATAACTTTATGTCCGTCCTCCTTCTGGCATCGCACCTTTCCAGTGGCAAACCAAGTATATTTGATTTTCCCTGCAGCTCTCTTCTGTCAGACAAGCCAGTACAAGTGTCTGTTCGTGGGAGCCATCTCACTCAAATATATCCGGTGGCAGTCATTCTCCTGCTAACTGATATCCCGCATGGAGAAATTCCTCAACTTTTCTTTTCGTAATTAAATCGTCTCTGACTGATTGCCTGACAAAGCATGCGGTGACAGGCGGTGTTCACAGATCATCTTTCCTGCTTCTGTGGCAATACACCATGCCCAGGTCTTCTGCACTAAGCCTGACCCCCCCCCCCCCCCAAGCTTGCTCCTATGCTGGTCACCAGAGTGGCAGGCATTTCACCAGCTCTTTCCGGCATCCCTCGGATCTCCAGGAATCTGGATAAAAGGGCCTGTTCTATATTATTCAGGCGAACTTTTAGTCGAGATTTGAGGGCTTTATTTTGCAAAATAATTCCTTCAAAGTGACTGGCTTGATTTTCAATTTTTGATAATCTCTCATTAAGCTCAAAACTGAGCTTACCATATTTATCGAGGGTTTTTTTCATCTTCATTCACGCTTGGGTGTAGGCAATTTATTGCTGCCAGTATTTCTGAGGCAGACGGCTCAGTATTGGATTTTTTGGCCTGGTCACAATTAGGGCATACCCATGTTTTTTTGTGTGCTTTTAGGGCTTCAATGTCTTTATCAGCTAGGTTGAAATACCTGTTGTTTTTGTCCTCGCATGCAATAGTATTATTGCAAATATTACACAGCACCATATTTTATGAGAAGTAAAACAATTAAAATATAAATAAATACCGGTAGATTATTGTTGATGTGATGAAAATAGTGAGCAGTTTAATTGATGAAAGGATAAGAATTATAAACATTAAGAAAAAATAAAATAGTATTAAAGCTAGAGCTTCATTTGGATCATTTTTTGGTATTAAAAAATGATCAAGGTTCAAAAGTTATGCATTTACTTATATGTTTAAAAAATACTGTAAAATTGGAAAAATTTATACCCAGGGACATTATTCCAAAACTCGAACAATTTCTTTGATGAAAAAAAAAAAATTATTGAAGTGAATAACTTAAGAACGCCTTCACTATATAACTGGACGTTAGTTCTCAATGAAACAAAAAGTTTTTTTCAGGAAGTTGGAAATAAACAAGTCATTACAATTTTGGTTCAATGTTATCCATCAAAGTATCATTTTTTTTACGGTATTATTAATATATATATATTTTTTAAATGTTTAAAAAAATGTTATTTTATCTTTGTTTTAATTTAAATTTTAAAGTCTTATTATAATTTATATATTTAATTGTTTCAATATCTGAATGATTTTAGGTTTTACATATCACATGAAGTAATGAAAAACAAATTTAATAATGATTGGAAAATAATATCAACAACCAAACTAGAAAATCAAAATACTTTAATTATTGCAATAGCTGAATCAAAAAATTTTCCTTTTATCGGCTTACAATTTCATCCAGAAAAAATATATGAATGGTCAACAAAACAGAAGAGGAACCATTCTCAAGAAGCAGTAACTGCTTGCAGATATTTCTTTGATTGGCTGATAAAAGAATCAAAGAAAAATAAAAATAAATTTGATAATAGTGATCTAGAAAATGCATTATTGATAAGCAACTATCACAAAACATTTACTTCAGGAAGATTAAATTTTGATGAATTATATTTATTTGATGAAAATAATTCAACTCAAATATTAATAAAACAGACAAGTTTAATTCATTGTGTAATATAATTAAAAAGCCATTTATATGGCACAAAAACTGTTTAAATTTAAATTATTTGAGATAGAAAAACTAACAAATATAATAAAAATTAAAAATGAAACATTAATTTTTTTGTTCTAAATACACAAAATTAAATTATGTAAACCAATAATCACACACATATTTCGAATAAAATTCTGCCTAATTTAATTATTACAGAATTAAAATAACTGTTAAATTAACAGAAACAACTAACAATTTGTTTAATATTGTATTAATTGTATTATTATAATATCTTATCTTAAATAAAGAAGTCATGTTAAAAAAAATTGTTTAAAGATCCACTCCAACTATTATCTAAATGAAATTCATATAGTAAGGAACAGAAAATTAAAATAAAAGATATCAAATACCTGAAAATCCTTGGATCACATCGTAGAACCTGGAGAGGATCCAGCACAATATTTTCTTGAGTTAATGGAGTAGTAGGTATGTTTGATGGAGATTCAGGAAGCAGTGCATTAATAGTCATTACCCATAAACAACGGGGTAATACAGAATTTAATCTCAACCAAACTTGTTTATATAGTTCTAAAAACAATTATATATGTAAAACAATAATCATTATGTAAAATAATAAAATTAAATTAAAAAGAGTTTTATCAATTTTTTTTTAGTGCATGATTTCTTACATTACATTAAAAAAAATTGGTAAACAGTGATTAAACAAAAAACAATGAAAAACTATAAAGACTACACAAATTCAATTTTCAATACATGTAAAATATAAAGAAATAATTCAGTTTATATTTAAACTAAAAAAAAAAAACTGCCCTTAATTTTAAAGAGTAACAATATAAATTTAAAGAAAACAGGAAAATTCTACTTGGAGAGTTCTGAAAAATTAAAGAGTACTGAAAAATATATATATATTGTATTATTCCTTATATTTTTTAGCTAATAATGACTCCCGGAATAACACTTTAATACTGTAGCAATACTTCCAAAAGACATGAGATGTTGTTCAATAAAAAATAAAATTATGTCAGTTAAAGGTTACTGACAATCATATCAAAAAACTCAGACAGACTAAAATTATTTACTGTTTCTCTTTTTCTGGCACTGAATTCATTTTTCTTCAAACACTTTCCAAAGTTCTGCCAAACATACCTTCCAAAATGGTGACACTTTCATCTACTCAACTCAAGTTCCCTGGGAGATCCTCTCACTTGTAATTCCAAACAACTTGTGACCCAGTCAAACAACAACTGCCAAAACAAAAATCATTTGTTCCTACCCTCTTTGGAATTTTCCATTTTTTGGTAAACTACAGAGCAGCAAATTTCTTTTCCCTTAACTAGTGAAACAATTTTTCAAATTTAAACATCCCCTAACATTAGCAGAATTAGACTAGCTTGCCTTTTAACTGTTTAACATTAATTTACACCTTTTTTTACCAACTTTCAATAAAGCTATATATTACAATATATATATATATATATTATATATATATATATATATATATATATATATATATATATATATATATATATATATATATATATATATGAGAAGGAGTTAGTTGAGGGTGCGGTCAAATAAATAAAAAAATTAAAAAATATAAATAATTTTAATTTTTGCCGACGTTTCGACCCACTTTGCAGGTCGTCTTCAGGGCTACAAAAGATACAAACATGTTGAAAAAATAAAAATAAAATAAAAAATAAATATAAGTATATATAAATTACGAAGAAGTTGTCAGATACAGAAATAAAAGATAAAGAAAATAAATACATGATAAGAAAATAGATAAAAGAAAATAAATACATGAATGTTAACGAATAAATGAATGTTAACGAATAAATAGATTGAAAATTGAATAACTATTGTTACAGTAAAGTTAAAATATGGATAAGATAACATAATACTAAGATATCAGTGGATAACAAGCAAGTGGAGGTTACCTTTAATTGTAAATAAACAGATAACGGGTCTAAAGGTTAAGAAGTGAAGAAATTGAAAGATTAATAGGGTAACATTAGTGTAATATTGTTGGGATGGATTATTAAGTATAAATAACTCCATAAGAAAACAATAATTTTAAAAGAATACTTTAAAATGTAAGAATAAATGTAAAAACAAGGTTATAATGATAAAGAAACAAAAAACAGGTTGTACTATATATAGATGACAATTGACATTTAGTTTTTTGAAAGAGGTAATGGAATGGTAGAGATCTTCATATGAATGAAGATAATAATAGGGTGTATAGTTGAAGGATAGGTGTGTTAAGAAAAGAATCACAATAAAAGTAAAAACATACCGTAATTTGTGGTACTGCGGGAGGCAGTTGAAACACTGGCATTGTCAAGAAACTCTAGTTAGCAGTGTCAAAAAAAATTTCGAGTAAAAATAAACGCATATATATATATATATATATATATATACATATATATATAATATATATATATATTATATAAAAAAAAAAAAAAAAAAAAATATATATATATATATATATATATATATATTATTAGAAAAAAAAAAAATATATATATATATATAAATAAATAAATTAATAAAAAGAATAAATAAAAATATATATATATATACATATATATATGAAAGGAAAAGAAGTAAAAGAAAGTATAAATGGAAGTGAGAAGATTAGATAGAGGTTTATGATCGAGATTTTTTTTAAATGTTGATGATTTGGGAGTAGGCGAGTGATAGATTTTGCTTGTCGGTTTTTAAGTTAAGTGGTTTGTAGTCTAATTGAATGAAAACACTTTCCGTAAGTAGTCTTTTGTCGTGGTTAGGTACTGTGGCAAGAATGGAGGTATTGTCAAAGTCAAATGTGTGGTTTGAGGATAAGGCGTGTTCAGAGAGTTTAGAAGCGGTAGAGTTCTTAGAAGTAATTGAGTATTTGTGTTGTTTGATGCGGTCTTTAAGTTGGTTCAGCTTACTCATCTTCATTCAGCCTACCATTCCATTACCTCTTTCAAAAAACTAAATGTCAATTGTCATCTATATATAGTACAACCTGTTTTTTGTTTCTTTATCATCATAACCTTGTTTTTACATTTATTTTTACATTTTAAAGTATTCTTTTAAAATTATTGTTTTCTTATAGAGTTATTTATACTTAATAATCCATCCCAACAATATTACTCTAATGTTACCCTATTAATCTTTCAATTTCTTCACTTCTTAACCTTTAGACCCGTTATCTGTTTATTTACAATTAAAGGTAACCTCCACTTGCTTGTTATCCACTGATATCTTAGTATTATGTTATCTTATCCATATTTTAACTTTACTGTAACAATAGTTATTCAATTTTCAATCTATTTATTCGTTAACATTCATTTATTCGTTAACATTCATGTATTTATTTTCTTTTATCTATTTTCTTATCATGTATTTATTTTCTTTATCTTTTATTTCTGTATCTGACAACTTCTTCGTAATTTATATATACTTATATTTATTTTTTATTTTATTTTTATTTTTTCAACATGTTTGTATCTTTTGTAGCCCTGAAGACGACCTGCAAAGTGGGTCGAAACGTCGGCAAAAATTAAAATTATTTATATTTTTTAATTTTTTTTATTTATTTGACCGCACCCTCAACTAACTCCTTCTCATATCATATCAACGGTCAACCATCTCTACATCATTATGAATGCATTACCACGGGGTCAACATCAAGATACAAACATACAATCCATACGTCGCAGTTCCAGACTTAATACCAGATCCAACAATCTTCAACAACAGTCATCCGCACATCAGAATCTCTCTGTTCTTCCCACTCGTCGCAGTACCAGATTTCAAAAACCTTCCAGAACTTTTCATCACGCAGCACCGTTATCTAATCACTTCTCTTCACACTCTTCTCCGTCTTCATTTAAGAATTCGTCACATGATGACACATTGACCTCTTCAGTTTTAAACTCTTCCTCTCTAATAAGTTCCGCTCCCAGTCAAGCTAATTTATCCTTCTCATTTTTCAAAACCATTTATTCCAGTCACAAATACCACATTAACAACCTATGCTCTCTCCACAAACGCCTTGCTGACACGTTAGAACAGCGAATTTTTTTACTGAAATGCCGCTCCAACTCTCTTTTTCCTAAATCAATCACTAATTCCCTCAATCACATTACTATCTCCAAACCACTCAATTCCAAATTATCTAACTGTTCTTTGAAATTCAAAAAATCCCTCCTTAATTTGAAAATCCGTGAAATCATACAACATATCCATTACCTCAAGCAACAAATTTCCGCCATCACTCAATTATTACAAACCATCATGACTGACGAACACATGACTAACCTATCACAAATTATCTCCACTATCTTTATTACTACCAGATCAAAGAAAAAAAATATTCTCATCACTAAATTTAATGACATTTTTCAGCAATCGTTAGTCCATAAGATATACCCAAAAGGAGACGATAATTGGGTCCACAACTCCTCATCCATAGATATTCCCTCCAACGTCCTCAACATTTTAAGCTTAGGTCCGAATTTTTCCACCCCTAATTCTTCTACCAAACTCATCCCTGAACTTATTACTGACTTGGAATATATTTATAACGATCCGATCTTTCACCATTCTAATGATAATAAAGAATTATCTCGTGTTTCCATAACTAACATTATCTCTAACCATCTCCAACACCCCCCATCCACTACTTCTAACTTTTCCCCTCAATTCTTCAAAGATCTTTCTTCCACACGCTCCTTCCTTAAAAATCATGACGACATCATCATCACTAAAGCGGACAAAGGAAATAAAACAGTTATCATGGACCTCACAGACTATAATAGAAAAATGACTGAACTCCTATCAGACATATCTACATACGCTCCTACAACTCGTGACCCCACTCCTTCTCTTAAAATCCAATTTAACCAACATATCAGAAACCTCTTACACTCTAAACAAATCACATATCCTACTTACAGAAACCTCATCTCTTATAACTCCGTGGCTCCCCGTTTCTATGGTCTTCCAAAAATTCACAAACCCGGCACTCCCCTCCGTCCTATCACTTCTAATATCAACTCTCCCTCTTTAAAACTCAGCAAATTTCTACTCCCATCCTTACAAATCCTTAGTCATGACAATCCATATGATATCCACAACTCCTTTCATCTACGTAATTTGTTATTATCCCTAATCATTCCCGATAATTACATTCTAGTCTCCTTCGATGTTAAAAGCCTCTTCACCAACATCCCTATAGATAAAGCCCTTCTTATAGTAGAAAATAACTGGTCATCCTTAGAGTCTCATACCTCCCTTAACCGTTCCTCATTTATTGAATCCCTACAACTTTGTTGCAAATCTGGTTATCTCCAGTTCCATGGACAATTTTATAATCAAATTGCAGGATTAGCTATGGGTAATCCTCTCGCACCCGACTTATCTAACATTGTTCTTAATGATCTCCTAAACACCATAGCCCCACAGTTTCCTAATGACATATTTCTTATAAAAAAATACGTCGATGACCTTCTTCTCATCGTCAACCCTGATACTATTCCTGACATCCTTTCCGCCTTTAACTCATATCATCCCCGCCTCTCTTTTACAGTTGAATACGAAGATAACTATTCCCTCCCTTTCCTCGATCTTCTCATTAAAAGACATCCCAACAATACTCTATCCACAGACTGGTACACAAAACCGACATACTCTGGCAGATTACTCAACTACTATTCTCAACACCCCTTTCACCAAAAACTTAACGTTGCCAAAAACCTCATTCACCGATGTTTTTCTCTATCTGACCCTTGCCTACATGAAACAAACACTAGACGCATACAACGGATACTATTGTCTAATAACTTCCCCTCCAACACCATTAAAAAACTTATTACTGACTACAAAACCCGCCCCTCATCCTCCATCCCTTTCTCTAGTTCTCAAAATCAGCCCCCCATTCCTTTATATAGATCTCTACCATACATCCCTTTACTTTCAGATAGAATTCAAAAATCTTTACGATCCTCTATTCCCAACCTGCGAGTTGCTTTTAAAAACTACAACAAACTTGCCAATATTTACTCCACCCTAAAAGACCCCATCCCTCCGCAACACCGCTCTAATGTCGTATACCGCATTCCTTGCTCTACCACCAATTGTAACTCTGCCTATATTGGAGAAACCAAAAACCAACTTAAAGACCGCATCAAACAACACAAATACTCAATTACTTCTAAGAACTCTACCGCGTCTAAACTCTCTGAACACGCCTTATCCTCAAACCACACATTTGACTTTGACAATACCTCCATTCTTGCCACAGTACCTAACCACGACAAAAGACTACTTACGGAAAGTGTTTTCATTCAATTAGACTACAAACCACTTAACTTAAAAACCGACAAGCAAAATCTATCACTCGCCTACTCCCAAATCATCAACATTTTAAAAAAATCTCGATCATAAACCTCTATCTAATCTTCTCACTTCCATTTATACTTTCTTTTACTTCTTTCCCTTTCATATATATATGTATATATATATATATATTTTTATTTATTCTTTTTATTAATTTATTTATTTATATATATATAATATATATATATATATATATTTTTTTTTTTTTTTTTTCTAATAATAATATATATATATATATATATATATATATATATATATATATATATATGTATATATATATATATATATATATATATATGCGTTTATTTTTACTCGAAATTTTTTTTGACACTGCTAACTAGAGTTTCTTGACAATGCCAGTGTTTCAACTGCCTCCCGCAGTACCACAAATTACGGTATGTTTTTACTTTTATTGTGATTCTTTTCTTAACACACCTATCCTTCAACTATACACCCTATTATTATCTTCATTCATATGAAGATGCCTACCATTCCATTACCTCTTTCAAAAAACTAAATGTCAATTGTCATCTATATATAGTACAACCTGTTTTTTGTTTCTTTATCATCATAACCTTGTTTTTACATTTATTCTTACATTTTAAAGTATTCTTTTAAAATTATTGTTTTCTTATAGAGTTATTTATACTTAATAATCCATCCCAACAATATTACACTAATGTTACCCTATTAATCTTTCAATTTCTTCACTTCTTAACCTTTAGACCCGTTATCTGTTTATTTACAATTAAAGGTAACCTCCACTTGCTTGTTATCCACTGATATCTTAGTATTATGTTATCTTATCCATATTTTAACTTTACTGTAACAATAGTTATTCAATTTTCAATCTATTTATTCGTTAACATTCATTTATTCGTTAACATTCATGTATTTATTTTCTTTTATCTATTTTCTTATCATGTATTTATTTTCTTTATCTTTTATTTCTGTATCTGACAACTTCTTCGTAATTTATATATACTTATATTTATTTTTTATTTTATTTTTATTTTTTCAACATGTTTGTATCTTTTGTAGCCCTGAAGACGACCTGCAAAGTGGGTCGAAACGTCGGCAAAAATTAAAATTATTTATATTTTTTAATTTTTTTATTTATTTGACCGCACCCTCAACTAACTCCTTCTCATATCATATCAACGGTCAACCATCTCTACATCATTATATATATATATATATATATATATATATATATATTTTTTTTTTTTCTTAAGCCAGGCGTTGGTCATTTGGCCATCCAACATCTTGCTGCCCAGTATAATTTAGACTTTCTGATATATATATATATATATATATATATATATATATATTTGAAAATATTTTTTCTCTTATGTCCCTCAAGGCAGGACATGCGTCTAGATGGTCAGAATCCATTGTTCCTTGATGACACAATTTACAGGTAGGATCCTTAGCCATGCCTATCTTGTAGAGATGACTCTGCAGATATTCCTGACCAGTGGCCAGGCGGAAGCAGGCAATTGCTTCTCTTCTCGGCAGCTCAGCTGGAATCGGATTATCCTTCAACCACTCGTAACGCTTCCCTTCCACTTTGCCGAAATGTGCTTTCCTTATTTCTTCCTTCACTACCACCTTTACCATTCGCCGTATTGAGTCGTAGGGTTTTGGATGTATTGGCTGAGGCAAATCTGTTCCTCGCTTGGCAAGAATATCAGCCTCAACGTTTCCCGGAATCCCACAATGGCTGGGGATCCACTGTAGGACCACATTGGTGCCTCGGTGTGTCAGGTTAGAGGGGAGGGATTTACATTCCAATATAGCACTTGATAAACATTCATTCGTGCTTGTAACAGCGAGGATGCCTGCTTGGGAGTCGATGAAGAGAACAGCGCTCTGATCCCGCCTTCTAGACAATATTCTTAAGGCTATGAGGATCGCCGCTATCTCACCGTCGAAATTTGTTCCATCTATACCCACCGCCCCGCTGATTTGGAATTCCCTTGAGTAAATCCCTGCTCCAGCATTTTTAACGGTTCAGCTGATCTGTCGGTATAGATATGGAGCCAATCTTGAGAAGGGTACTTTTGAGCTATGGTTTCTAATGCTAATGCTTTTAGCTCGTATTCAGGTGTTTTCTTCTTACCACTTTATGAAGGAGTTGCAGTTCTGCATTACAATATATAGAATAATTGAATTATCATGTTTTGTAAATTATAATATACTTAAAGAATATAATGTTTTATTTTTGATAAATTTAATTATATATCCTTTAAATATTTAGATTATCATTTTCAGCAGAAAAAATAAAATTACCTTGAATATACCTAGGCACGGATTGATCTAGAGCCTGTCTAAAATGTTTCATAATTACTGGAGCGAATTCCCACAAGTCTGAAGGGGGCAAGTCTAGTAGATTTCCTAAAACTTGGCCAGTGTGAGATGGGCAAACTGTCATCATACTTAAACCTAAAAAATAAGAATTGTTTGAAAGATTTCATTTTTTTTTTTTTTTTGTTTTAATGAATACTGAGGTATGAACTGCATACCATGCTCAATGTTTTCTTCTGTTAATGTTAAATGTTTTTCATCAGGACCTCCAGCATATAGCATTCCAATGCTGTGGGACTGACGCTCCATCCAATCATCAACCAAGCAAAGATGTGGAAAATGTGTTGCAAGTAGTCTTAACAGAGATGAAAAAATACCTGAAATAAACATTTATGAGTTTTATTTAATTTATATAAACATTTATGAGTATAGGGTAGAGTAGGGTTTAGGGTGATAGATACATGGTGCATAGTAAAAATGATTTAAAATGTGAAGACATAAATATCGGTTTGAATCACATATGAAAAATCACTCGCTCAAACTACAAGAATGATAATGATAAATTACTAATATCATTTATAAATATTTTTATAATGAAATAACAGAGTATTTTTAGAAAATACTTTGATGAAAAAATCTACTAAATTTTGAGAAGTATAACAAAAGATTAGAATAACATCATTCAAAACAAAGCGATACATATTTGTTAAAAAGACAATATAGTTTTTTTTACTATAATTGTATTTGGTATAACATGCAAATTACAAAATTGCCAAATATAAATGTGAGAGCTTTTCAACTAATTAAAGAAAACATAATTAATTACCACTATAGCTAGCTTGGTCCTTTTGAGCTTGTTGTAAAAGATACTTTATTGGTAACTCAGACAGAAATTCTTGCGAATATGCTTTTACCCGATGTCTGGTTGGCTGAGCAGCTGAAGAAAGCCTCACGTCTTCATAATGAAGAAGATAATACAGCATCAGCAATTGTGGTGTTAGGGATTTTTTGGTATCTCTATTTCCATGATTCTGATTAAAACATTTAAATTAATACATATATATTTCTGATTTATGCTAAGAATTAAAAAATATATTAATTTTTCTAAAATTCGTTAGTGAGAATTTTTCTAAACCTAATAAAGACAGTAGATATTAAGTTAATTAAAGAGATTAATTCATAATAAAATGTATTTATCAGTTTTAACACAAGGTGCTAATTCATCAAACTAAACTCAGTTATTAATTAAAATAAATAAATATAGGTATTACCTTTTTTATAAGAGAATTAGAAAATATAGCTCGAATTTCATCTTCCATTATTGGTTGATTGGTGCTTTCAATGGAAAATTTCCCAACTGGCATTAGAATAGAATTTACATACACTTCAACCAAAGCCGGAAGAACTGGATGGAGGGGAGGTATACTCGAGCAAAGTTGCCTTTGAAAATACAAATAAATAAGGTATAGATAAACTAAAATCATGATAGTAAATATAGAAGTGCATGATGAGTAAATTAAAGGAAAATGAATTCAAATTTACACAAATTTGCAAACAATTTTTTTAACAAAACTAAAATAATAAACTGATATAATTCACCACTTATTCCATTTTAAATATACATACAATACAAATTTAACATATGTGAGTGATTCTCAGATTACAGGCAATATTTGTGACAATTTTTTTGATAATTTTATTATTTTGACTACAATACTTTTTTTTATTTCTACACATTTTATTGAAAGTCAGTAAATATTCTTAACAAGTGACCAACATCAAAAGCGTACTTTTCTTGGGAAACTTATAAAATATTTCAAATAAATGTAGTGATAAGCACCTTGAATTTATTCCTTTTTACTTTCATATATATATGTAATATATGGTAAAGGAAAGTATTGCGAACGTGAAAATTTGTGAAACTGTTTTCAACCGAAATACAGCTTCTGAGGTCCGCTGAGTCCAAATAACCAAGTCCCAACATGGTCAGTGTGTCTGTGAGTATGTTATCAGTCTAGCTCAAAAACGAAAAGTAGTACAAAAGTGAAATTACATTTTTAAGGTTTGTGTATGCCTGAGATGTTCCAACAACTTTTTTGTCAACATTGGCTCACCCGAAGTGGCACTTTATAGAATAAATTAAACATATTTTTAAGATTTTCTCAAAAACGGCTCTAACGATTTTGATTAAACTGGGTGTATGAATGTATAACTAATTGGTCTTTAATGTCATTTAGATCATATATCCATTGATGTCACTTTATGGAGCTTAAATGCCTAATGTTCAACATGTTCTTTCTCTAAAGTATCTTTAATTCGGTTTATTTTAAATCATTAACAATTTCTCATTGATATAAATAATAAAGAATGTGATAATTGAATACAGGAAAAATACTTATTTAGCTCGAAAATAAAAGTCAGAAGGTATACATATAATATATCGTTGGGAAGCAGTGAATTTTAGAAAAAACAATATCTAATATAGAAATTCATAGGAGGTTATGGAGATTTAAGAAAAATATAAATAATAATTTCTGAAGACTGTTTTTATTTAACTGATCACGTGTTTTCAAGGAAATTAAATGAAATTCGCTAACTAAACGTAAACTTTTAAAAGTTTGAAAAAAAGTATTTCATTGTACTTGTATGAAAGAAGAAGTGAAATATAAAAATATTTCATCGATGTATAAAACATAGATTTATAACCTTAAAACATTTACTGTAGTTTAATAATTATAGATCTGATATCATATTTAAATAATTAGGTATCAACGTATGTTTATTCCGGAAAATCGTCACGTAACCGTTTAGAAAATTAAATTAGTGAATAATTTGATAAATTGTTTCCTTTGTGAAATCCCAGCATTATTCACTTAAAATTAATGACAACTTTTGACCTATCTACGGCAGGCAATGAAAATCTCATAATTTCATTTTAGTAAACTTTACAATGGAAAACAACATTTAATATCTAATAGCCATACAATCCATAATCATTCATAGGTTGAATATACAGATACACTTTCGAATCTCCCCAGGCATATACATAGATATATAGTTCAGAGACTAGAGTTATGTGGTTTACAAAAACAGATGGAGTAACAAGCTTTTTATTGCTTACTGTTGCTATAATTAATATGTTTTTTGTTATTATAATGGTCCTAATAATTTGTTAGCTGTAAGCTTTAAGCTGTAGTTCCGTTAAAAATGCATTTCAAACATTTTATAATAACCCAACTTTGCCAGAAAATAATTTCTACTCAAAGGAGAGCGGTAAAAGAAAGATGTGTGTTATGTGCACCAGATTTTTTTTTTTTTTTGGATTTAGAGGTAAGGAAATAAGTAATATTGAGCATAGGATGACCTATATATATTAGAGCTCTCTAAGCATAGAAAAAATATGGAAAGAACTAAAACAAAAAAAAAAAAAAAAATCAGAATGTTTGTTATCCTATATGAGTAGAAATAAATTTCATTACTATTTAACATAATGTATAAATGAAAAGTGACGTGGGGCCATGGTTTAAACAATTATAAAATCAAGTTCTTTTTTAATATTTCATTATTGAAAAATGTTACTTCAATATATATCAATGGGGTAAAAAAAATCCAAATTAAACTTAATAAATCGGGCAAACATAATTGTGAAGTAAAAATTAACTGCAAAATGTAATAGTTACAGGTACTGTGATAAAAAAAATTCTTTACCTGTATATCCAATCTTTAATGGGAACTTTATACTTAGTAAAAGCCCTACTTTTCAACAGCTGGTGAATACAATGAACAGGTAAAAATCCACTTATATTAGCATTTAAATTTAAAGTGACTGGAACTTTAACAGCATGAGCAGTAACTACCTAAAAAATGATAAAAGTAAAATTATAACAAGTTAATAGCATCAATTAAATATAATACTTTATATTCCCAGAAATGCTTGTATTTCACCAACAATAAAATGTTTCAAGGTATATTTTAAAAATTAATAGAATAAAATAAGTATCAAAGGAAAATGACAAAAGTCAAAACCAGACTATTTTTAAATGAGATAATAGATAGAGGCTCAATTAGGAATAAAACCTAGTGAGTGTAACAAAAAAAAAAAAAAATTGAATTTATTAAAAGATTTAGTGAAGAAAGTAAAATCTTAAAAATATAAATGTTATTACTTGTTCCGTGAAGATATCATGGGTGAATACGTGCTTCATTCTTGTCATGGTGTTATGTCTAATTGGAACTTTCATTCCCAGAGTAGAACAAACCAATTCTATAATAGCACTCAATTGATTACTATGAAAATGAATCGCCATCAGTAACAGCATTTCCCCGAATGAAGAAGTAACACCACTGGAACTATAAAAAAATATATATGTACAAGTTATTTATAACTGTTGGTACAAAAAAAAAAAAAAAATAGTAATAATACATAAATATAAATCCAAAGATACCTTTCCAAGTAGGCTTCTTCACTGGCCAGCCACTGGACCCACTGGATGCAGTTAGCCTCATGATTGGTAATTAATGAAGGGCAAGCAATCAGCATGCAAAGGCCGAGTGAAACAAATCTTACGCCTGCAGGAGTGGCTGGGGGGCGGGAAGTAACCAGTTTCACCAGCAAGGAAATTTCCTCTTCTTGAAGTCTGCAAGAAATATCACAGCCAATGAGTTATAATTAATTACAATTTATACAAATGATTTTACTTCTTCAACCACCTAAAGTAAAAAAAAAAAAAAAGATACTCTTCCATTTCTCAAGATGTCACTTAAGACATTTTAGGATCCAAAAAGAGTCTTTTTAAAGTTATATTAATCTAATTGTAGAATTTATTTATCTCTAAATGACTGAATTATTTTGGATAGTATATTTTTGGAAGTAGATAATGGTTAGTTCAGTAATCTGAATGCAAAGATTTAAAAACAAATATATATACATTTGAAAGGATATCTCCATCCAGTTTTAATTATTTTTTTATGAATACGAAATAAATAATAAAACATCATAATGACAACCAATTAGTGGGAATCTCTTTGAAGATACTAATGGCCCACCTTTTTTTTTTTTTTTAAATTATTTATTATTTACGGTATACAAAACATTGATAATCTTAAAAATAGCTTTTGATCTAAATTTGATTGAACATTGTACCTTCACTGTGTCAAAGGAATATTGGCCAAAAATAATAACATTTGGCAAAAGAAGTAAAAAATTATAGCGCAATCATTTATCACAAGCTATGTGATTGTGCTATACCTAATCAACCAAACAACTTCTTTGTTATCAAGTAGTGTAATTTGTTGTCTTTGCGATTTTCATCATCATCATATGTGGTACGACATCCCGTTACCGAGACTGGGCCTCCTCCAAGAGCCTCCGCCAGTTGGCTCTGTCTTCTGCTGCAGCTCTCCAGTTCCGTACACCAAGCAGGGTTCCCGCATCATAGGCCACGTTGTCCAACCATCTCGTCCTCGGCCTTCCTACCCGTCTTACGAGGTGCAGCTCCTCCATCATTATTTTCTTTGGTATTTCAACGGTGCTCATTCTGGTCACATGCCCTACCCACCTTAGTCTGGCCAGTTTAATATACGTGACTACGTCGATGTCTGTATAAAGAGAACTGAGCTCCCTATTTTTTCTTTGCCTCCAGACATCAGACTTTGCGATTTTAGATTATCTTATTTGCACTATGGCAAAAAAAAAAAATTATAGATCCATTCACAAAGAAAAAGAATTTAGAAAAAGAAAAGTCTTACTTGATCCCTGCTATCCCTCGAAGAGCACAATATAGCCGTAGCAATGAAGAAGCTTGGACAACACATGATTCAGATAAAGATTCACTTTCTGAGACAATGGTATTCAAATAGTTTAAAAGTTCATCTCTTAAAGCTTGTAAGCTACTATTAGCTTCTCGATTTCTCTAAAAGCAATAAAAAATAGTCATGTATATAGATGCATATATTATTTACGAACATGAACACTCAATTATCAAAGTGTTTCATAAATTATGTTTTTTAAGTAAATACTGACAATAAACAATTAGTTTACCAGTGTGGTTGACTTAAGTTATAATTATTGATCAACAACATGCATGTATTTTTGTATTAATGTTGGGCAAAATTTATCTTGGATAATAGATAACGAATAATTTATTCGAATTTTCAACTAGAAATAACAAAGAATTCTGTTTATCTTTTCTCTAGATAATAAATAAAAGTTATCTATTATCTTTTTATTTGTTATATGAGTTTTTCAAATAACTTGAATAATTTGATGCGTTTTATTTTTTTTTTTATATAAAGGCCTATTTATATATTTTTGGATCCATAGTTTTTGAAAATGATCTCCATATTAAGATTCCGTCACTGTGTTGCAACTTTTTTGAGTTTTTCGGATTTCTTCGATTTCAGGATCTATTTATATGTTTTCAGAGCTGTGCTTTTTAAAAATGATCACCATTTCATTGCATTGCATTGCGACTTATTTGAGTTTTTCGGATTTATCTTATATAGGGGTCTAATTATATGTTTTCGAAACCGTAGTTTTTGTAAATGATGTCCATTTTAAGATTATGCCACTGCGTTTTGACTTCTTTGAGTTTATCGGATTTCTTTCATATGAGGGTCAATTTATATGTTTTCAGGGCCATAGTTTTTGAAACTGATGTCCATTTTGAGATTACACCACTGCATTGGGACTAATTTGAGAATAAATATGATATCCATTATTCGTTGTCTAGATAAAATTTCAAATAATTTATTTCAATAACGAACAACACTGATTTATATACATATATGTATTCTATTTATATTAAAATTACATACCTTTTGGCGGCCCCTTATGAAACCAGAAAACCAATTTCTCACTTGTTGATCACTTCCAAGAAGAAGGCTTGATACAAAAGCCACTGCATCACGAATTGAACTGTCAAGACCAGGTACAGGTATAGTAGGGTCAAGCGTTAAAGTGATGGCTAAAGCAGGCATTCGACACAATTCCACCTATGAAAAAGCTATAGTTTTTATAATGAACAATTTAAAATTTATAATATATAAAGTGTAGGTAGGTGTAATCTTCGACTTTCAAAATAAAAAAAATGAGAAAAGATGATTAATTATGTTTTGGATTCCTAAATTAAAAATTAATATTTGCTTACTTCCAATGTGAAAATATTATTGAAATATAATCAATGAAAGGGTTATAATTAATACCTAAGGGAATGAGATCCTGAAAGTTTAATAATCCTAACTGTCAAATATTAGATAATCTTGCATTAGATTATAATTGGAAAAATTCCAACCACACAGCCTTATGTCTCTAAAATACAGGCAAAGAAAAAACCTATCAACGTCTCACTGATTCAGGCATCATTAGTTCTTAATTGCTGAAACATTGTTGGGTATTTTTCTTTGCCTGCATTTCCAAGAAATAATGCAGTGATTGGAATTTTTCTAATCATAACCTAACAAATATGTCCTGTCTCTTGCTGAGTTTTTTTACTGATTTATACTAATCTGACATAATTTATGATCGAATAATTACCATAAAAAATGTAAGAGTAAATATTTTTGATAATAAATAAATTGCGATCTCCAAAGAAAAAGCAACTAGCAAAACTGGACAACTAATCTTTTTCTGAACTCACCAAGGCAAATTATTAAACAATCATCACATTTATGTTTGTTTGCAGTCCGTTTAAAATTCAAAAACGGAATCCATAGGTGCTGGCATTTAAAAAATATTGATGGAGCCAGAATTAGAGCACCATATACAAAGTAGCCCACTTATGTGGCTATTACCAATAATATATCAAAATTATTGCTTTTATGAGTAACTTTTCATGAATTGTTTCAAAGTAAATAACTGAAATATTGGAAGAGAAAAAGTATTGTAAGGGCAGTAAGAATTTTGCTCTCTCAGTTCATACTTGGAACTTATTCTTAAAAATAATAATAATTCTTAATCAATTTTTTTACTACAATGGAGGATTCTCTTTTATAATTCTAATTAAGATTACAACAATGTTTAAATTTTTAATATTAGGCAATGAATCAATAACTTAATGATTTTGAAAAAATACAGTATGATTCAAACAATCAATAATAAGTATTTCTGTATTTTATAACAGTATTCTTAGTAAAAGGTAACATTTTTATATCCCCAAAAAACAGTTAAATAAGGTTTAACTACGTATAACTACTTTTAACATGTTCCCACCCAAATTAAAATTTTAATGTATACCATCACGTCAATTACAATCCTATTGTTGTAATCATAATCATAAGTTAATTATACTGTATGTAATTTGAATTAATTTCAGCTTAATCTTATAAAATGTTCATAAAATTAAAATCGTACACATTTTGAACGGACTGCTAGAGCCATGGAAGGGCACATTCGACACAGTTTTGTCAGGGCTTCAATACGAATCCTTCCACCATTATTTTCATCCTCCATTTTATCGGAGTTGGCAACCAAGCTTTTACAAACTAGAAACAAAATATTATGATTTAGTAGACAATGAAATTATTAAAATACTGTATCATATTTGAAATAATAGCAACAAAGTAGTAACGAGTACAAACCTTCCCAAAATACGTCAGGTGAATTAGCGACAATCCAACAAATTATATCCGGCCCATATTTCATATGGAGAAGTGTTTCAGCTATATCAACTGGAGAAAGTAAAGCAGGAAGTTCTGATAAAGCAATATTCAAGACATCACAGATTTCAGGAATATACACAATATTCTCAAACAGGTCAGAATGTTTAACATAAGTATCCAAAATGTTCCTTTGTTGCTGCTGTTCTTCCTGGACCTAAAATAAGGAATGGAGTTATTTAAAATCATTTTTGGCCAATGGGCACCAATTGTTTTTATTAAACGTCCTTCATTATTCCTGATATTTTGGATATCTCGATTTATTTTCAAGTACAGAACTCCTAGGCATCTTCATTTTATTTGATTAATTTAAAATAAAAATTGTCCTTTGCTAACATGATCACTTTTCTTTCTCGGGTTGTTCAGTGATCTCATCTAATTTTTTTTGCTATTTATTATTATTTGTATGAGTCTATTGGTAGCCTTAAAAGGGCCAGAAAATCAGGTATATTTATTGATTAGCTAATTCACTAATAGCTCACTCCACTTTGACCAGTGGGGCAAGATCTCATGATCAAGCTATAAATGGGATTTTAAGAATAACCATGGATTGACACTGTGTTCATAGTAGTTTACACATAGTATAAACTCCCATTATTAAGATCTTGATTTACAACTTGATTTGGCTAACTCCTTACTAGTCATTTTCAGTTAAAATAACATGCATGCTTGAACCCTATCCCTAAACAAACATCCAAAGGGTTCTTTTCAGATGAAATTTAGCTTTTACCAGATGGATCAGTCACATCCAAACACATTTGGACATGCTTCGTAATTCTCGGGATTCCATTTATGGAGAGATCATGAGTTCTTATGCCACTCATCAAAATGGGGAATACTTGTACAGTAGTACTGGCTTACTACACATAATATTTTATTAACTTTAAGTCTAGAGCTGTTGCATTTCCTAATTACATTTATAAAAAGTTAAATATTAAAAAAGAAATCTAAAATGAAATGAAATAATAATAAAGATACATACACAAAATAATAATAAAAAAATATAATGCTAGTTCACTTAAGCTCCACACAGATTACGCATGGTTCACAACCACTTCGGTCACACTAGATCATGAAATGCCGAAAACAGTCGAATGTTCCAGAATATTATATCAGCTCTTGTCTTAAACACATTTCCCTTTTATGCATTTTTGAAAAACTTGTATAATCCCATCACAGAACTTCAATATTAACTATAAATTAATGAATTACATTTTTAAAATTATGAAATTATTTATGAGCTAATTTTTATTGTTTTTAATAATAGTAATTAATCTGGAAGAAAAATAAAGAAAACGATGTTTGAGTGGTTTTTCAAGAACTAAAAAAATTCTTTTAGGAATACAATTTTTATTGATACGGGCTTACATATAGTTGCTTATATACGTGTATATTATCTTTTAAAACTGTATAAACAATATTTTTTTTTTTATCATTTTGATAATAAATAATTTGAAGTTATCTATTATTTAAGGGCATACAAGTAGTTCAATGGTGGAAAAGTTATCAGTAACTGGCTCAAGAGATCAGCTACCCTTGTATTCTTTCAGATAAATCCAGATGCATTCAGCACTCCACGAACAATTGTGACCGAAGTGATAGTGAACCATGGATAATCCGTGAGGAACTCTTGTGAAATAGTACTAGAAATATTAAATGAGAATTTTCCACATGCCATACCTGAGAAGCAATGTACAATATTTCACTTAGAACCAATCTCAATCTTCTGGTAGGGTCAGATCTTTCAAATTCCATTGCTAAACCATTTTGAATTGACTGAACCAAAAGTCCGTCAGACTGTACACTACCTCCCTTTTGCCTACACAAATTAAAAGATAAAATTTTAAATTTTAAGGCAATTTGATGAATGGACATTAATAATTACACATCATTCACCTCAATTGTTGTTCCTTCTTCACTTCGATTTCTAATGCATGAAAATCAATAGAGAGGAGAGCAACGATCGAATTCACCATCTCAATTCCGGAAAGAACAGTAAGAATTTCTTTTTTGTTTTCGGTGCATTTTTTAGTTACATCCACTGGTGAAATAAGACTCATTCTCACAAGGCATGGTAAAACTGGTCTTAATTCTTTAACTGAAAAATTGGCAATTCTTTTCACATCCAGTGTTTGTAAGCTTCTAAAAACACCAGATGAAACTGAAAGATCGGTCATTTTGAATACTATTTTACACCTTTATCCTTTAATCGACACGAAATAATCCTTATCAACAATAAAAGAAATCACAGGCACTTCTAAAACATGAAACAAACTGTTACAGGAATAAAAATTTCATAATGGTAGATATATATGTCACTAGTGTTCAAACATCTCAACATTCTGCTCCCGGTATAATGATGCAGGTTATAAACATTTCAAAGAGGTTGTTTTTGGGTACCAGTTTGATGTTAACTATTTGAAATATTTATAACTTGCACCAGAATATCATACTTAAGAAGCAGTTTTATAATTTTTTTTGTTATAAGATAAACATATTCAACTATTAATAAATAATATTAACTTTGAAATGTCTTCTTAAATAACAGAAATTCACGTGGAGTTCAATAATCATATATTTTGATACTCGTTCACGATCGTCCTTCATTCAAAGGTGCCGTTTGTTACTTTTAAAAACTAATTTTATACTTAGAATTGTTGGAGTTTTAAGTATTTCTTGTTATAAATTTAAATTTTATTAAAAACAAGACATGATACACTCTCTCATTTAAGAGTGAAATCAGTCTTCAAATTGAATATGTACCTAATTTCTTCTCTGAATGAGTTCTTGTGAATTTCATAAATATGAATATTAGTTGTATAAGAAATTCTAAATTATTGTTCTCAGCTCTTAGCAGTTGTCAGCAATCTTTTTTTAGCACAACTAATTGCAATCGGTTGTTTTTTGAAAAGGATCCTAAAGGAGGTTATAGTAAAACTAAATCAAAATATCTTCAGTGGAAACATATCAAAGATGGTTGGAAGCAATTGGGTGATGAAGTTAAATTATTCAAAGAAGAACTGATTGAAGCAATAGAAAATGATCCCATAGTGTCTTTAACACCTGGTATGTGATGTGATTTTTTATATCAAAGGTGTCACCACTCGTTTTTTTTAAAATATGAATATGACTAATTAAAATGATCCATGTTAAACAATAGAAGGAGGAAGTAGTACCAGGTTTCAGGAACTGGCATGTATTAGACGAAATGCACATACAATGGGAGAAAGAATGGTGGATTTTTGTATTTGTGGAAATAGATAACAAAATAATATGATAGATATATGTTGTAATTTATAGAATTTTTGTTTGGCTTTAGATAATTAGAAAATGAGCAAAGTAGCTCAAAACGTTATAAATTAAATAAATTGTAAAATTATAAGAGCTTATCGATCGTCAAAGGCACATTAAGTGCCCTTGACAATTATACCACTGGAAATTATTAAATATACATAACTGGGTGATGGTAATTATCTCCACTGTTGGATTCACTACTTTCATATTGTTTGTGTGTGAACAGCCTAGCTAAAAAAAAAAAGGCTGTATATGAAATTAGATTATTGACATACCTTTACGTCTAGTATTTTAGAGCTACTCTTTCACTAAAATCAACTCATTGGCAGGGCCACTTTATTAAATTGATGTTATACATTGTTGTAATTTTGTTGTAAAAGAGTAACAATTTTTATTAAACTCTTTATTTCAATGTATGATTAACTGGTTTTAATATCAGGTAGTCTTATCCTCATTGAAATGCTAGATATGTTTTAAATGAAATATCCAATATATATATATATATATATATATATATATATATATATATATATATATATATACAACATTATATACAACAATATTATATACAACATATATATAATACATATATATATTATATATATATATTATATATATATATATATATATATATATATATATATATATATATATATATATATATATATGTTGTATATAATATTCTATGGAAACCAAATGCACCCTTGAAAAATCCAATTTCCATACTAAATGGGAACTTATACACTTATTTGTATGTTTGACAAACCAAAAATATATAATACAGTGAATTATCATTCTGGAATTTTTAAAATCTTTGTTGTATTTTTAGTAGAGAAGTATATGCTGCTCAAAATATTTCAAGTACTGTTTACGCTTTGATAAAACATATGGCAATAACTTTAGCCACTATAATGTATTTAAACCATTAAATATTACTTAGCATTAATTGAGAATAAATTTAATTATTTAAGTAGAATGGTAAGTGCAAATTACATGATTCTCATTGCACCAGATTTTTTATTTCAGTATTTTAGAAAAAAAGTATTAATTGATTTATTTATTTATTTTAACATTTTATGCCATGCTCACCTAGCAAATTTGATATGTTACATATTATCTGCGAGTTTGCTTGATCAGCTTCATTTTGTGATTATTGTAGGAGCAGTTCTCTCTGCCATTTTCTTTTTAGTCTACTTCGATCAGGTAACAGGGGACAGGAAATAGAAAGCACCAATGGATTGAAGTGATTTTGAAATGAAGTATATTTGTCGTGGATCTAGGATTTTACTGTTGGGATGTTTAACTCTTTATGTATAGTGTTATTCGAAATGCACCAAGGTGTGTTGACAATTTTTTATCATGTTTGTTTTTTATTTATGTGTGTTTGATTTCTGAACCCCAAAGTTCTGCTGTATATGTCAAAATTGGTCTCAGTATGATGTTTTAGATCAGAAGCTTGTTTCTTAAGTTAAGTTAGGATCTATAGTCTAGAAGATGTGAGTGTTGGTTATATCGTCTAGTCAGTTCTTCTCTTTTTAATTTACTATGTATGTTCCTGGTAAGTCTTTTGTCTAAGTAAAGTCTGAGGTAGTGTACATAGTTTTTGAAGACACTGGGTTATTATTGTCAATTGTTATGGGTGGATATGAGGCTTTCTTCAGATAAATTAATGTGGTTGAATTTGTTGATATTTATTTTAACTTTCCATTTTTGAAGATCATAGAAGTTGTTTTGAAGGGCTATTGATGCGGTAATAGGATATTTGTGGGAAGAAAGAATAGCAGTGTTGTCAGCTAAACAATAGATGGTGGTGCTAGGGTGCTCAGTATTATCAGAGGGGTATAGCGAATAGAGAATTAGACTTAGTAGTGTAGAATTAATTATAAAACTCATCTGTCTTAATACAACAGCAAAAAAGACAAAATTAATTTTGCATTAATCTACTGGATAATCTCACTTAAGGTATTAATTATGTATGAATACACATTATAGTATATAGATTTTTTAATTCTACAATAGTTGAAAAAAGTTAATGTGTACTTTTATTAGGTGTTATTAAAAAGCAGTGGGAACTTCGTAAAGAAGAACATTTGGGTACTTGGATAACAACATCTGATTCAGACCATGGAGAAGGGCATAGCACGTGCTCTTTAACTTTAAACAATAATGGCTTTGGTCATTTTTCTGGGGTATTGGACACGACTGTACCAATAGATGGAAGAACAAAGAGGGCTGGTTATTGCTCAGTCAGAACAAAAAGGGCTAGGGTAATTGTATTTGATTGCATTCAATTTAAATATATTGAAATTTTATTTTATTTGCTTTAGTTGTTTGAGGTTAAATAATTTAAAATGTTTAAATAATAGTTATGTTTTCTTTCATTTATGTATCATTAAACCAAGTTTTAATTTGTTTGTATATGATATATCATAGAACCATTTTTTGCGGTAAGGGATAATTTAATGCCTATATTGTGAAGAATATTATTTTTGCTGTCACGCAAGAAATATTAGATTAGATTTACACTCTTTAGCCTCAATCTATTACATTAATGATTTTATTCGTTCCTTGTGTATGAACACAAGTATCAAATATGTTCTTTATAAAACAATTCTCTGAATCACTTCTAAAAGACAAAACGATAAATATAGCATATGTGTAGGTATGTGTTAGATTTTGAAATATTATTTTTAACATATTAATTTTTTTATTTTTTTATCACAATCTTCTAATAGTTATAAAGTGTTAACTATTCTATTGTGCTATAATTGTATGTTTTAACAGTACATATTTTTTTTAACCAAGTTGAAAATAATAAAATATTTACTCCTATTTGTAGGATATAATATATTTTAGCATACAAATAAGTATAGAGTAAATAATATATTTACTCTATTTGTTTATGTGGTTTATCATTATTAGTTAAATGAAAAGTCTCCATTATAGTTAAACTATCATTAATGTGGGATTTAGAACATGAAGATAAGCTAATAAAATTTCTGTTAAATTCTATTTCCCTTAAATATATGTTATTTCATACTTTCATCATTACATACATGTTTTACTTATATACAGTCTAGTATATATTCAGAATATTATTAACATTCATACAGGATATTGTAATTGAATTATAAATCTGCTAGTCTTTTAAGTGGTTTTATGTTTGTCTTAAACTATTATTGCAGAGAAGTTTCCAAAGAGAAACATATTATGATTGGTGTACCTACACACATCTTGTTTTAAAAGTTCGTGGTGACGGTCGATCCTATTTGCTTAATATTGCTACTTCAGGTTATTTTGATCAGCTATGGAACGATATGTATCAGTATGTGTTGTATACCCGCGGAGGACCATACTGGCAAATAACAAAGGTACGCTTGATGGTTAAACAATTTTTTTTCTAGTATTGTGATTTGATATATTTATGATTTATTTTTAAATATTTTTTTTTTTTTGCAGATTCCATTTTCAAAATTCCTCTTTTCAAGTAAAGGGCGTATTCAGGACAAACAAAGTCCAATACCCCTTGACAATGTTACTCATTTTTCTATAGTAGCGGGAGATAAAATAAATGGTCCATTTTCTTTAGAAATTGATTATGTTGGACTGTTATTTGATCCTACTCATAAGGAAGAATTTGCTTATGAAATGTATCAATTGCCACAAAATATTGCTGGAAACTAGTGTTGTAAAAATGTTATATAAAATTGTAAAATGTAAATTTTAAATAAATATTTAAGTTATTATTTTAACCATTAACTTAACTTATTAAAAAAATTAATCCTTTCCAGAAAAAACAAAAAACAAAGTGAAATGTAGCTTAATCAAGACATTCAGAAAATATTTTTAAAAAATTATCCCAGTGTTATGAAAAAAAATCAAGTGCTGTGTGCACATCTCCCAACTTTCACTTGCCTATATTTCACTATCTATGTTTCTACCTTAAGTTGAATTTTAACTTTTTTTCATTAATTCAGATCTCAAAAATATATGCATTAATTGTATAGACTTTAAAATATTAAAGGAAGTAGAACATCTGGTCTCTATAAAGATTAGTTTTGTCTATCTTTTTTTTTTTTAAGGCCCATAATTAGCAATATTGAAAAAAAATGTCTAGTAGAAATTTAGAAGACTATCGAGTACCATCTCTAGGAAAAAACGATCAAAGTTATTTGGTCAGATTTTTCTAATTAGCAAAGGTAACAATCTAGGTAAAATGGGGGAGCTCACCATCTCAATTAGACAATTAGACAAGACTGCATAAATTGATGATGTTCCAGAGTAGGTACTTGTTTGTTTAAGTTCTTTTAATATATTTTTTTTTTAATACTTAATTATACTCCACAAAAGAGGTGGGCAAAACCCATAATTTTAAAGGAGAATTACGGTATGAAGTGATATGGTAATTTAAGGATATTACAGTGACACTTCAGGCTGCATTGCAATGGTTTGATTTAGCGAGCTTAATAAAAAGCTTGCATTTGTAAGTAGATATCTATTGCCATTACAAAGTCAATAATCTGAAAAAATGCAGATAATTACTATCTGTATTGCCATTATATTAATATAAATCAGTAACCAACCAACCAACCAATAGACAGAACATAAATGTTAAATTATAATTGGAAAAATTCCCACCATACAGTCCTATTTCTCCAAAATGCAGGCGAAGAAAAAGTAAAACCTGTCAATCTTTTGCCAATTCAGGGATCATACGGACATAAGAGAACAGAAAATCATACATCATTCTATGACACCCAATAGTATATTCAATCAATGGGAGAGGATGGTTGGGTTGATAAGTTAAAATAAAAAAAATGTAAATATAATTATATTTATTTTTCTATTTGCCGACATTTGGCCCCGAAGTTCAGCCCTTTATCAGGTCTGCTCATGGTGAAAGATATGATTTTTCCACCTTCTTCGATTGACCAGCCCTGAATTTTGGGCCGAAAGGTCAGCAAATATAAAAATAAACATAATTATTTATTTTTACTATTTTTTATTTTGACTGATCACCTCAACCTTCCTTCTCTTTAATTATTCACTACAGTCAACCCTCAATCCATAATTAGGGATAACATAAACTCTACATTTAATAAAATATTTATGCTTCTGCTCTTTTATAAACTCGTTATTTACCAAATTTAAAATTAAATATATCTCTGCATTAATAGCACATTAATGCCTCCTTAGTATGATTGAAGCACCAGTATTTATACTATTGGAGTATACATAATATATATATATATATATACATGTTTAATATAACAAAGAGAGGGTCAATATATGAATAAGATCTCTTTGTCACACATGTTGTGTTTACAGAGTGAAAACATTTGGAAAATTCCGCAGTATGAGGAGATTTTGAAAACTCTTCATATAGTTTCTGATAATGATAGGAGCATTTGAACTAGGACTAATTTACTCATTAATAGAGGAAAGGGAATTACTGATCTAGGTTTGGAAATTACAGTTAGTAGTTGAGTATTTAGAAGTATTGATCAAAGGTTTGATTTAAGTGGCAAACAATTTCAGATATATTTCTTTCATTAAGAGATGAAGACAAATTTAACGAAATCTTTGGATTATGAAATAATGCAATCAATTTTCTTGGCCTGTATGAGATTCAAATTTCATGAAAAAAATTCTCTGCATCAGTTGTAGAGATGGTCCAATACTTGGAAGAACTTAATACTATAAAATTTGATTTGGTTTATAATATTGTAGGCTATAGAGAAGTTCCATTGAATGTTGTCTCCATCCACCCTCCTCCACAAGAAATATATTTTTTGGTTTCGGATTATTTAATGTAGTTTGGACTAAATAGAGTTGGTCAACAACTGGCCCTAAAAGATCCAGGAATGTATATCAAAGATTCAGACATTTATATAATTTTAGGGTGAAATAGTGCTTTGTAAATGATGTTAGATTTATGAAAGGAAATGATAAATATTATATTTTCTTCTGCCCAGATAGAACTAGAGGATAATTGAAATATATTGGATGATCACGATCGGAATAATACAACCTATTATTATCATCTGAATCAAGTTAATAACAGAAATGAGCTAATCCTTAGCGATTTATTTTTCGTCCATTAGTTCTTGATAGATAGTCTTTGGAAGGCCTTGGCCCCCCGATATATGGTTTAGCCATGCTTGGGTTTCTTTATTTAATTTTTTTTCTCCAGTAACATCATTCTAATACAGGTTCTGTTTAACCTTAAATATATCTTTTATTTTAGGCATTAATGCTTGGCTGTGTTTGAGCAAATTTGAAACGGACACTCTTCTAAATTTTATTTCTTCTAAAAAATAAATTTTTGAGTGAGGTAAATAGAGATTCGGGAGTACGCTTGGCCTCTATGAAGTTCTACTCTGAACATTCAATGGGTTGAGCTAAAAACTTCTGCAATAAAAGGAAAAAACATTTATAGCAGATGATCAAGAAACAGTACTTTATTATGAAGTGCTAAACCCAAGATCTTATATAGACTATATTAGTAACGTAAGAAAATAAATAAGTAAATGAATGAAAGTAAGTGCGTACCACAATGTTGACAATTCCTACTTCATTCCCGGCTTTTCTTCATTAAACACTTTAAAACAAAATCAAAGTTGTATTAAATTCAGAAAAAGATCGTTTTTAATACCGTTGAATTTATATTCTTTTTGGCAGTGAATAACAGACGTAAGAAAAACAAAATTTCTGTCGGATACGTAGACTTTTAAAAATTCGTATTTAAGGTGCTTTGGATGTGCGAAAAACGAATATCAACTTTGTTCCTCCCTAAAAAAAAAAACTTTACTCTAGATATTACGTCGATTTTGAAGAAATATACTTGTCAGATGGAATAGGGAGAGAAATTGGACCAACCTTAGTATTGTGGGAGTAAATATTTTTGTATGTAAAAATTAAGTTGATTTCGTATCTCGAAAACCACTTTTTTTACGAAAAAAATACGAATTTTAAATAGCAATAAAAAATAATCTTTTTTGCAGGATATTTTTGCCTAGGCTGTGTCCTTCGAAATTTGGACAACCACAAAAAAAAAAAAAGATTCGATTGGTATATAATAATCTAAATATCTGCTTTAAGCAAAGAACAACAATTTTAAATTTGAAACCAAAATAAATTTTGTTAGAAAATATATAAAATAGATTTTTTTTCTCCTCTATGGACCAATAGGAACCAACGCCAGGACGTGTCCAATATTTTTCAACGTATCACCAAAAAAAAAAAAGTTAAAATCGGACCTACTGACTGTAAGGCCCTCTTATTAGGCAACTGTAGAAATTTAAGAACTTAACTTGAAAGTTTAGAACATAGCTTGTTAACTTAGATAATTTGCCAATATGTTTCGTGACTTCTTAGAGCCCTATTCAAAATAATCCCTCTTCAGTCACTGTTTGTGTGTTTTCCAATCTGTTTCTAAGGACTATTATTTATTTATTAGATGAATTCTAATTTCCCCTCTTCAACCTACGCAATGGCTATTAAATTATTCGATTTATACATTAGAAAAAAAAATCGGAATATGTTTGAGACAATAGTCTAGTAGTCGGTCAGAAAAATTATTTTATTTCTGATTATATATTTAATGCCGACGTTTCGGCCTACATTTCAGGTCTTCATAGCCTTTTTGAATTTTATTGAACCTTTTGATTATTTAAAAAGAATTTAATGTCCATCTTCGGTATTAAAATTTCACTCGTCTGCGAATTCAAACCGGTTTCGTTTTAAAATTGTGTTCATTTTAGAAGTGGGTATCAAATATGTCAAAATTGCATTATTAGAAGAAGATTTGTTTCAAGCCAACATGTAACTGTATAATCCCTTTTTGCTAAAAATCATTGTTTGCAGATGTCAAGAGAGGGTGTTGTACCAACGTTGCTAAAATTCAAAATCTATGTTTTTTAGCTGTTTTTTTCTTATTTAGCTAAGATAAAATATTAACTATTTATCTTTTATCTTTTTGATGCATGGTAGTCATTCAATTTCAGGTCCATTTCTCTATGTCAAAAAACGTTCCTTGTTCATTTTTTTGTTCATGTGGACAGTAACTATATATATATATATATATATATATGATTTTGGTCTAAGTCTTATTTCATTATGGTAATGCCATATTTGTGTTTTATAATGAAATAGAATATTTTTTTTAACAATAATAGCCTGACTTTTGGTAATCATGGAATCTGGCAGATTTTGGTTCCGCCAGATTCCATATCGGTCACACTATGCGTGTTGCCCTCTCATAATGAAATTAAAAGGGGAAAAAATGTAAATAACGACTACGGAAATAACCTAAGCCAGACAAATGAGCGTACGGTTATAGGGCGTGATGGTCGACGGTGTTGGGGCATTCTCGAGTCTAGCTGCGTCAGTTTGAATCCGAACTGGAACTATGGGACGAATTTCAACCTTTTCGCCCTGGTTAGAGTAGGTTTGGATGTATCCCTAGAAAATTACGAGATAGTGGTGACCAAAAAAAAAAAAAAAACTATTTACAACTTGGATATCTACGTAAACAGTAGGAAATTCCTAATTGATGCCTGAAATGGTGACAAAAGTTGAATATTGTTCAATCACATTAGAGATACTTGGAGTTTTAATAGAAAAAGCGTAGTTTTATTGAAAAAAACAACTTAAAAATATCATCTCAACAACGGATAGAGATGAAAGCTAGAGTTGTCGTACAGCGCTCATCCAAATTTTTGGTAAATTCCCAGAATTACTGACATTTCCTCCTTTGCCATTCTGTATATACTCTTATTTTTGTTTATTTGTAATGTTTAATTTTGTTTTTAAGATAGTATATAATAAATATATAATTTTTAGATTATGTTCTAACAATTTTGACAATTTGACTTCACTATTTCAATAATAGCAGCTTGGCGAGAGAAGAAAACATTTGTACGCTATAAAATGGAAAACCTGAACGTCACAGTATAATAGTCTGTACGTTGTAATAACGTTACATTATCTGTCTGTAATGTAATTTTTTTTTCTTTGATTTTGGGAGGATTTGATAGAGGTACAGCATTAATCTATGAGTGTTCATAGGCTCAGACTTTCGATTTTATTTGGTGGGAGGGAGGGGGGAGGGGAGAGAGAGGCTGCGGAACAAAAAAAATAAATAAAAAATAGTGGGAGATTTTATTATGTGTAAAAATTCAACATTACTATTACTAACATTACTACATACTAAACGAAGATATATATTATTGAATGTTTAAAATTGATTTGTTCATGTTAGTTTTAAGGATTTTTTTTTTTATGTTGAGAATAACTAAAAAAAAAAATGTCTTTAATATATAACGTATTTTCTTAGATTAGATGTCTGTACAACCTCAAAAATACAACGCTTTTCACTTTCGACTAGTTTGCCTCAGAAAACGTAGGCAATATGAATATCACGGGTGTTTGAATCATAAGTTCTTACAATATGTTGACTCCTTACTTGACTTACAGGCGAACTATTCGCCATATATCAGGCCTTGTTATTACTAACAGAAAAAAACAGAAAAAATGGCCTTATAGTTACAGACTCTTTAAGCTCATTAATGGCCATTGCCGAAGGGAAAGCCGACAATGCCATTTCCAGGAAAATCAAAAACTGCCTCTGAGAAATGAAGGAGTCGCCGGACAGAGACATCGTCCTCGCATGGGCACCCTCACATTGTGGCATATCTGGGAACGAAGCTGCAGACAGAGCTGCGAACCTGGCAAGAAGGAAAACTAATGGAACCACAATGATCAATTTAACGACCACTGCTGACTGGATATTGGAACGCAAAAAAATGCTATATGAAAAATGGCAATTCAAGTGGAACCAATCTACAAATAAATTACAAGAAATTAAAAAAGATACCAAACCGTGGACGACCTCTTTCAGAAAGAACAGAAAAGAAGAAACAATTTTAACTCGGCTCAGAATTGGACATGCAGCCTTTACCCATGGCTACCTAATGAGAGGCCTGGAACCACCATTTTGTAAAACATGCAACACATCATTTACACTGAAACACATTGTAACAACTTGCAGACTATACTCTGACACCACAACAAAACATAATATACCTTCTAACATGTCTGAAGCACTTTCAGATGACGAAGAAAAGATACAAAAAGTGTTTGAATTTATAAAAGACATTAAATTTGTACACCTTATTTGATTACATCTAAAGCCGCTAATGACCCGATCGGGTAGATGCGGAATGTAACAATAAATAAATAAATAACAATTTAAGTAAAAGTAACATTTAGGTATCAATGTAATAGTTACATAACTACTACTAGACCGTAACCTAGCTGCTAATCGACTTCTCTTAATCACTTTTAGCATCCACATTTTATTCATTCATATAGCTTATTTATTATTGATTTTAATTTTATTTTACTTCAAATTACTGAGGAAGGGGACGATATTCTCGCTCCCCCTCAACATTTTTATTGGGGGGGATGCAATCGTCTCATCCCTCCCCGCCCCACGAAATCTGGGCCTTTGTGTGTGGTGTTGTGTCATTATAATTATATTTACTTTATTTTGGCTACGCATGTAGATATAATTTTTCTTGTATAGGTAATTAAGATTCATTCTTGATTTTCTTTTATTAGACATGGGTTTTTTCACATAGATATTCACTTCAAATTTAAACGACTCAAACTCTATGTAACTTTTTATACTGAATCGAATAGTATAATACATAGGTGGGGAAGCTTCGGCCTCCATTAGTTTTTGCGCGATCTTCATTTATCGAGGGCTAGAATTAATTTGTATTTAATTATTTAGGTTACGAAAATTAGCAAAATATAAAAACGGTTATGGCCTCCATTACTCACTTAACTTAATGTGGTCTCTGATGATAAAACGATTTCCTACGTATATATATATATATACACATATATACTCAACTTGATAAACTTGAAACGAAAATTCCCTGCAACCGCAGTAATTTTGAAACGAAAATTCCCTGCAACCGCAGTAATTTTTAAATAATAGATATAAATAAAAATAATCATCTACTTATTTATTGAGTATACGATTATCTTATCTTTGCTTTGTATATTTAGTCAATTTTCCATATAGTCATTTTTTTCTTTAATTTATTTATTGAGTATTACAACAATCTGTCACTTGGACATTAGTTATAGGTAGGATAACATTCACACTATATGTAAAAATAATATAAAATACATAGAAACACAATAACAATAAATAATAACAAAAAAGTATATACAACAAATAAAATAAAATAACCTAAAAATAATAAGATTAAAACTAAGCAATAAACTCATGCATACCTATATACAATGAGGCGAGGGAACTCCAGGAGAACTCTCTCAACCGCATCACTTAAGATTATCTCCCACAATTACTGACTTATCGTTCTAGGAAACCCTCTTCGTAGTGATATTCTATTTTATTTTTGGAATATAATAGAAAAAGAATTTCACTCTGTGACTAAGTTCCTTAAGAAAAACAAAATTGTCCAAAACAAAAAATTAGGTAAACCAACTTTTTTATTTTCTTTTTTTTATTGTCCGTTCCTCCCTCGCCTTTTAGGCTACACGGGTTTTTTTCCCCGGGCAGGGGAGAGGGCGGGGGATTTATGCCGGAGTTAAAAACCTCCTCGGCGAACTCGTACTTATTTTATCATGATATCTGTTTGTCAGGCAGCTGGGCGATGCGTGTTTTGTACATGGGTAAATCCGCTCGGCCACCCCGCTTCTTGTGAAACCAACTGTATACCAAATAAATACGACTGCATTTTCAATGATTAATTTGATTTTAAATTTATATTCTGTTATAAAAAGATTTTTGAATATTTTTATCTTATTGACCATTTAATTATATTAACTATACCAACAATAACATCTGTTAGTGGCGCATTCGTGGGGCTACGTTCGGACTGAAGCTACAAAATATTTTTTTTTAGTAGTAGTATTTATATATAATTATAAAATTTATATATATGTGTGTGTGTGTGTGTATATATATACTACTATAAATATATATATTTATATATAATTAAAAAATTATATTGATCCATATTAAAAACAAAAAAAAAATTCCCACAGAATTAAATCCTGGATCCGCTACTAGAAAGAAGTGAGCACTTTTAAATACTGAGCAGATATACACACTTCCTTTAGAATTGTTAAAATTTAATGTAGTCAATAAAATAGAAAGGTTGAAACGTTTATTAGTTTTTATATAATGTAAATTAATTTATCTATCAGTTATTAGTACATTGTTTTCCAGAAACAGAATAGAGAACAATTGCAATTTTTCAGAAAATTAAACAATTTTAAATTACGGACTTCAATTTAAATAAAACAAAAATTTTGAATCTATTATATACATTGTTTAATTTTCTGAAATATCACATACACTTATTTGTAGAATGGATAAGCATTAGAATAAATGTGCATAAAATGAGACAACAAATAGTGTTATTTTTGTATTTGGTGTACTGAAAATGAATAATTAATGAGATTATAATATATATATATATATATAATTTTTGGTTTGAATTTTTGGTACGTTATCATTTTTTATATGACTAAATAATGAGTGATTATTGTTATCAATTATGTTTCTTGATGACTTTAGAATGAGCAAATGTGCTCGAAACGTCATTGAATTTTAAAATAGAATTATTTTAATTTTCAGAACCTTAACAAATATGATAAGTTGAAAAATATAGCACTTAAAAAATATAGCAATTCTTGCAAGAATTACGGTTTATCTAAAAAAACTTACATTTTAAGGATTTAACACTCCGAAGTTCGCAAGCCTTAGACTAAAATGGATGGTCGCTAGGGATCTATGAGATCCATTTCATTAAATTAATTCATCAATGAGTGATTAATATTGTGTTTTCCAGAAACAGAACAGAGAAAAATTGAGGTATAATTGTAAATAAACTAAATGCTCAAAAACGCATTGATATTCTGGGATTACCTTTGAATCTTCGACCGTTTTCTTAGTTCTACCATGTTCTTGACGAGTGACTAATTGAAAAAACGTTAACTGAGTCAGCAGGATGATTTAGGCCCCCCTTCTCATGCTAATGAGGTCGCACCCGCACAAAAAGCCTGCGTAAGGCGACAGGGGTATCATTGTGGGAGAACACGATTTACCATTGTAGGGGGAAGCCAACCGGAGCTACAGCTGACAGCATCAACTGACATGGAAATAAAACTAATTGCCACTGAGGTGAGGGCAAAGTCTAGCAAAACGAAAAATTAGAAGAGAGGATTCAAGATGGTGCTAATGCTGATCTCAATAGATATTCAGGGTCAAGTCTGTTGATGTTTGCACTATCTCAGGTATATAAACCTGTGAGCTTCGTTCCAGAAGCATCAGTGGTCTACCAGTCGATAAGCCATCATGAAGTCTGCATTCGTTGTGAGTATTTGGCTTTTAAAACTTGTCTTTATAAATATCTTAAATTTCAAAAGTAACATGATTAAGTAGCATTCATGTTTTATCTTAATTTAATTTTTTATATTTTTCATATATTCCAAGCATATGTTTTCGTAAATAAAAAATGGAATATGAAACACTTCAAGTATAAATATTGACCTCTAACCGCAATATTCCGTGGTACAGACCCCTGTTTATCAAATTATTAACATCCGTCTGAAGCTTCGTAAATAGCTTCATTTCTTCGTAACCTACAAGTTTATTATTTACGAAAATTCTCGAAATTTGGACGTTTTCAATCCGGATATAGACAAACTTTGTCGAATACAATAATTAAATAAAAAATAATAACTATGTACTTAGGTACTAAAAACTCTTGAACACTCATTTACTTTCCACTTGAATCGTGTGATAATCAATGTGGATCGAGATTAAAGGTGGCCTACAAAAATATTGGGCTGTTTGACGTGACCCATTCATCCTCCAACATATAAAAATAACGAGATTAAATAGGCCAGACACTGCAATCCAATTCCGGCAAAAATGTATTCCTTCACATTAATAGGATAAGTCGAACGTATAGGATATTTCTTGGTTAAGTTGAGATAATACGATTTTGAAATGAACAGCAACCCCTGCATTTGTGAGCGATTTCACACAATTTTAGAACATCCTTTAAATATTTTTAAAATGCGTAATCAAGAAGTGAATAAACATTTAATAATTTTCAATCGGCGAAGGAGGAAAACATGGGCTTTGGAGACTTTCAATAAGTCCCACATCTTCTTTGAAGCAAAATAATCTCAACCTTATAAGATTAATAATATCAGGCTAAAAAACTCAAACCCTCTTTTCTTGCGTCCTTTTGTATTATTATGAAAATATTTCTTATCTATCCGATAATATGAAAATTATAAAAATATTTCAACAACAAATAATGTTAGTATCCAGTTGAATATATAATTCTTTTTTTAACTTATAATTTTATTTCATATTACTAAGCGCTTAAAATTCATTGGTATACAACAGCACAACAAAAAATTATATGATTTATTCAGGAAAAAAAATTATTATTTTTAATAAACCAATTCAAACCAATTTTTATACATTTCTGTAAATGCTTTATTTGGTATTTCTCTTTGACAAAAGACTTACATGGACAATCCCCTCAGACTGAATAAAAGGAATAGTTGATTTGGAATATTAAGATCTTCAGATTACTTGAGAGATGTTTGAGGTTAACCACAACTTACAAAAATTTTTGGGCCACATCGAAAACACCTGTAACTAACTGCAAACAACTAAAAAAATCAGTCTCAAGCATTCCGTTGAATAGTAGTTGCGTGGACTTATGACAAAAACTACTTAATACACAATAATTTAAACATCTTAACAGTCTCAAAGAACTAAAATTTGTATTAACTTCGAATACCACAAAAATTTCCATTGATTAACTTCAATGAATCGTTTAACACAAATAGATTTGAGCTAAAGTTTTTGTATGGCTAAAATGTAAAATGTACCACTCACATAGGTGGTAAATTGCATCTTTGGTTGTCGTAACAAATTTTGTGCTTTCTTATTCAATATCCCAATAGTTGCGAATTTTTAAAAACATTAAACCCGGCTTGGCTGAAATTTTTTTAATCCTTTTAGAATTCGACTGGAATAAATCTACTATCTTTTCCCTCTCCTACTAGCTGAGCTTAATCCTTTGGGTACAGATTTAGAAATAGAAAATAACTTTATTCTGGGACAAAGCCCCTTTAGAATAACAAAATAGTACATAATTAAAATACTACATCTGGCCAAAACAAAACAATAATAAAAAATGAGGAAGTAAAGAAAATATTAGTTAAACAAGCTATATAAAAAACAATTAAGACTATGACAAGACATTTAAAACTATATGCAGTGGGAAAAAATATAATTTTACACTTTTGAGAAATAAAATAATAAAAAATACATTGAGATCTTCTTTAAAATAAGGTGTGTTTCTGCTAACAAAGGAAAGACAAAGCTGACAATATAAAATGTCAGAGTATTTAAATAATGAATAATATGTAGACTCATCATTGTCTAATTCTAGCTATAGGTACAGATTTAATTATATAAGAATAAAAAAACAAACAATAGATGCATTCAGTGGCATTAAGAGCAGGAAGATATTGTAAAATCCCTCGTGAAGTATACAGTATGAAATAGTACTATCATTTGATGACGTATGATATAATAGAAATGTATAATATCGAAAGCTTAGCAAGCATCTGACTGATTTTGGGATAGGAACTGGAATAGGAGGGTTTTGAACGTGGATATGGAGAAAGAATGCCGAATTTTGATAAGTAGGGAATTCCTTGCCTTTCGGCTACATGGGATTTTGCAGAGATATCACAACGTGTATGTCATTCCTGCTATTAAACAGCAAGTATTTGACCGATTTCCCTTTGTTTTTCAAAACTCTTCTTTTCTCAACTCTTTATTTTCACAATTTCATTTTGGCGCCCTTCCGTTTGCAGGTCCTCTTCTTCCCAGATTAAAATGTGAGTGCCCCAGAGCAGTTTCCCATCCGTATACAAAATCTTTGTAATACGGGTAGTTCTGCTCCACCACTAACTTGGGAAATTCATCCTCCGTCAGACCATAGACACCAATTTTTTCCATCATTCCGGCCCTTAGTCCATCAAAGACGGTGCAGTTGACTATGACATGCTCAGCAGTCTCCGGTACTCCACAACTGGGGCATAGGGGATCCTTTCCAAAACTAAGCAACTTAGCGCGGAAACCCCCATACCCTGTAAGGAATTGAGAGACCCAATAATTCGGGAGAACCCACTTCGCATCCAATCGACTTCGGATGGTGGGGAAATATTTACTTAAAGTTTCCCTAATGAGTACTCGTCATGAAAATATGTCTCGAAGATTAATTTCACAGCTTTATTTGAAATATTTGCTTAAATATTTAAAGCCTGAAGGTACCAATTTACACGAACACATTGTTTTAACCAGTCCTTTTGTTTCAGTTGTCCCTATTCTTCGCTGGATGCTTGTGCACCCAATGGGGAGGTCGTACAGGAGGTGGCCAGTGGGGCGGACAGGCCATCGGACAAGCTGGCGGCCGAGGTGGACAGGGTGCTTGGCCCCAAGGCGGAGGAGCTGAGGGGGGCCGATCAGGCGGATCCTGGGGACAAGGAGGCGGATCCCCGGGAGCCTGGGGGCAGCAGGACAGGAGCAGTCGTAGCCAGGACGGCCAGCAGTACGGGGCCACCATCATAGGCACGCCTGAGCAGTACGGTTACGAAGCCAACATACCAGGAGCACATTCCAAGTTCGTCGGTTACAGATCCGGCAGATCTGGTGGTATGCCAATCTAACAAGTGTTATATTATAAGCACTTGTAAAAATGATGATAGGTGATATTAACATTCTTTTTTTTTTTCAGAAGGAGGAGCTGGCCAGCAAGCTGGGGGCCGAGGTGGATGGGGCCAACAGCAAGGCGGCCATCAACAGCAATGGTGATTTCGGAGTTTCATCTTTAGCTCACAGCTCCACAAAACGCCTTTTTACTTCTTGTTAACTCTACAGAATAATAACAAATTTTGCATTTTTACGTAAATATACAGTATTCTTTAAATCTGTTGAATTAATTTTCCATCCTCTTCCACAGTATGAAAACTTTCAGAAACAATATCTTGTAATATATTTTAATTTTACTGCAAATTCTCGTGCGTTCGTCGTATAAGCGACATCAAGGAAACATGTGTATTCCTTTGTACAATATAATATAATACAATACAATATAACATTATTTCGACACACTCCTCTCTATTTTTGTGTATTATATATATATACTTTATTTTATTCTTTTATTCTCCTTATCTTTACGTGTATTCAGTTAAACATCTTAGGGAACATATGTATATCATTTTTTTTTTTTTTAATTATTTCTTTATATATCAACAGTTATTTATTTATTTATTTTTTTATGGGAAGGAGTTGATCGGGGGGGGGGGGTGCGGTCAAATAAATACTATATTAAACAAATATTATTATTTAATTTTTGCCGGCGTTTCGACCCACTTTGCAGGTCTTCATCAGGGCTACACATTCCATTTCAATCATCTTATCATTAATATCATATCAACTTTATCTTATTAATATCATATCATCTTTTTATTTCTGTATCATATAACTTCTTCTTATTTTATATCTACTTATATTCATCTATTTTGTTTTCACCATGTTTTATATCTTTTGTAGCCCTGCAAAGTGGGTCGAAACGTCGTCAAAAATTAAATAATACTATTTGCTTAATTCAGTATTTATTTGACCGCACCCCCCGATCAACTCCTCATATTATATCAACGGTAAACCATCTATACATCATCTTTTTTTTTTTTTTAAATTTTTTTATTCCATCACTACAATGCTTTGCCTATAAAGTTGATTTTGCGTTCCTGTCTTATTTCATTTAGTGATTATTATGCTATTGTTTTAGCTCCAATATTGTAGTATTGAACCCCAACTACTCAACTGTTCTCGTTAATATATCCTAAGAGCTATACTTAATTTATTACTAGTATTTTGTTATTATTTATTGTAATAGATCTTTTGGCCGGATTTATTGTTAATTAATATGAACAATACTGTTATTCTTAAGGGACCTAGTCCCAGAATAAAGATGATTCTCTATTTCTATTTCTATTTCTAATATTGTCAAGATTCTATTCATCAGACATAATTGTTGAAGGATCTTACTTTGCCCTGATCGCTAAATTAAGAATTTACTTAATAAGTGATTAGAACGTCTAACTACGAAACATTCCTCCAATTAAATAATTAAACAATAAGGCACAGGTATCCCTGAACTTAATACTAAACACTAATCACTAAATCCTAAACTTATCTATTATTTTACAGGCTTACGGCCTATCTGTTTGGTCCAGAACAACCATGGTTTGTACTTTTCTTACTTACTGAGAATATAGAAGTCATGTCTGGATATATTTTTTATTCATCATAAAAGTTTGTTTCCAAGAGATGATTTTTATCTCCACTCACCTTTTCAGTAGATTTCAATATTTTAATTTATATAACCTCAACTAATGTTTTAAGTGTTTCATGACAATTATAGCACCTAAAAAGCTTCCTGAAAGAATTATGATGAAACGGTATATTTTAGTACTTTAAAAACTCAAATATGGAAAATGAAACGATGTAAAAAAATATGTATTTGAAATAATTCCTCATGGAATAAAGTTGTTATAACAATATAACTCAATTTAAATGGTGAACTATATCTTGCATTGTTTAATTTTAAGTTTACAACTTTGTTCACCGCAAATATAACTAGCTAAATGTTCCGTTCTGTGTTTATTAATCTATTTATTCCCAAAAATGACTTTTAGCCACGATAACTGGCTAAATTAAATATATATAAATACAAGTTGTATTCATATAATATATACAACAACACATAATATAATTTAATCATAAATCTATGGAATTTCCTATTTAGAGATGGGTAAGTTGTTGTCTAATTCCAAACGATAGATTTGACGATGACCCATATGTTTGGGTCGAAACGTCGCACAGTGCATCGATCAATGCACAATTATCAAAAATTGAAATATTTTCAAAATGATTGAATGATTGAAACAATTCAATTACCATTTGAAATTGGTTAATAAATCATCTAGCATTATATCATTGTTTATATTATATTTTAAGTCAATATAATGGGTGAAGTGCACGCCCAGGTATGTATATCAAAATGCCATATTTTAATTGCGAATATTAAATCATTAGATTGTTTTGCATTCGTGCATTTTATTTGACTATTTTTTTTTAACATTAAAACTTTTAAAAACAAATCATTTAATATAATTTTGTACTTTTAGCATATTCTTGTAATACATCAATTTTTATGATCGTTTATGTGCTTCTGGGTGGCACTTGATAACTCACGCCTAGCTGGCAGAAATATATATTTCCAGCCCAAAAAGTTAATCGTATATACCTGGTTAAGGAAGAACTGTATGTGGAAGAAGAAGTGAAATATAAACATATTCCATGGATGAATAAAATATATGTTTATAACATTAAATATACTTACTGTACTTTAATAGCTCTAGATCTGATATTTTACTTAAATAATTAGGTATGCACGTCCGTTTATTACGAAAAAAATCATCATGTAACCTTTTAAAAAATTAAATTAGTGAATAATTTTACCTTTTTGAAATAAAAATATTATCCGCTTAAAATTAGAGTAAAAACTTATGACCTGTCTTTGGCAGCCAATGAAAATTTTGTAATTTCTTTTTAGTACACTTTACAATTGAAAATAACAGTTTAATAACTAATAGGCGTACAATCCATAATCATTTATAGGTTGAATATAGAGATATACTATCAAATATATATATATTGCTCAGAGGCTGGAGTTATGTGATTTAGAAAAACAAACGGAGTACCGAAGTTTTTATTGTCTACCGTCGATATAATTAATAGATTTTTGTCACGCGGCTGAGGATCGGGCATACTAGACTGACTCACCTCCATCTCATAACAAAAGATTCTATCCCCCGATGTCAAAAGTGTAACCAATCACTAACTATAAAACATATTTTGGAAGAATGCCCTTTTTACACCGCAAGATTAAAAGATTTTGGAATACCCCAGAATATATAAGCATCCCTGGGAAATCAAGAAGAAATAGTTACCAAAGTCATCAAGTTTCTGGATAGTGAAAGACTTAAAAAACACATTTGACAGGCTTTTTTTTATTTATTAATTTTCTTTTTATCTATTTATTTTTATTATATTTTCTCTTATTATTATTTATTTATTTTTTTTTCACTTGATTTAATTTCATTTTAAATTCATTTGTTTATTAATCTCAATTCATTTATTGATACTACTGCTATTTTTTAAAGTTTATTTATTTATACATTTTTATACATCTTATTACCTATAAATGTCTATTATTATCCTTATTTATTTACTTCATTCTATCAATCTATTTCTTTATTTATTTTATTTTTATTTATTTTTTTTGTACCAATCATCCAAATAGTATTAAATCATGTTATTTAGTTGATCGGGCGCTTATGACCTGGACGTTTTGCGCCTAGACATCGAAACAAAACAAAACAAATAGATTTTTGTTATTTTAATTTGTTAATGATTTGTTAGCTGTAAACTTTAAGGTATAACTACGTTAAAATTGCATTGAACATTTTTTATCATTGCTTAACATTGCCAGAAAATAATTTCCGTTCTAAGTAAAAAGGTAAGTGAAATTTGTGTGTTGCGCGCACCAGATTTTTTATTTAAAGTTTCTTGTTTCTACTGCTCTGTTACTTGTTTATGATGCTTATAAAATTTGATCAAAATATTATCAATGAAGATACCACAAGAGAAGAGCATCTGAAATTCATTTCAAGCAAATCAAATTTTAGTAATGATGATAATCATCACTAAACCGCCGAACTTTGATGATGATGATAATCAAGGAAACGTTGATTCGAAAAGTATGGAATCCATGGTTCGATTGGTCATGGTAACTGCCAGAAGGGATTCGGAGAGTTTACACAACAATGTAAGTAAAAAACACAGACGACATTAACCGCAGAGCGTGTAAGTGCGATCGCTTCGGACACGGTCAGGTCAAAGCGGGACAAGGAGCCTTCTCGTCCCAAGGTGTGAAGATGATATACCCAGCGATTCGTCAAGGGCCTCCAGCACGTTCTTGGACTTTAAGGTGGCCCTGATGACTGAGTGTGTTAAGGTGTCATCTTAACGATCTATTGCTAGGATAGGCCATGGTTCTAATCCGCCCCAAGTGGTTTCAAATATGTTTCGCTACGGACCCTGGGGATAAATGCTGACTTAGCCAGAATAGGTTGGTTACCGGTAGAGTCCTTCTCTACTCTGCCTAGTTGGAGTGCATGACGACGTCAAACCTAAAATAAACAAAGTATACGCCGGAATTAGTGTTGTCCAAATGCAAGACTGAGACGAGTATTGGTCTTGCAAACTCAGTCTTGGTCATGGTCTTGGTCTTGCGCGAGAGTCTCGCAACAGTCTTGCAGTTACTTATTACTATAGAGATATAACTGTGATTTTGGTTTACTATTTTCAATAATTAAACATTGTGATCGACCAAAAAATTCAAAAACAAAACCCCCTCTCAAAATTTGATTTTTTTAAAATTTTGATATAAAATCAGATGTCACTCGAGGATGATCCTCCTTCATCGACATTGCTCTCCGCCTTTAACTTTCAAAATGGCTGCCGAAAAACCTGCGTTGCTATAGACTGTAGCTCCTAAACGAATGTACAGATTTCAATGAAACCTCGCTAAAGTCATTTTTTCGACGCCCTTTAAATTTATCTATATAACATACTTGGAGCTGGAAAAAAAGTTAAGAGGGATGGTAAAATTAAATTCCGAATTACTCGAAAAGTTTTTACTTTTTTGTGGATATTGCATATATTTTTTATAAAGTTTATGAAATTTCCTAAAAAAAAAAAATTGTTAAAATCGGACAATTAGGAGCAAAGATATGATCTCTGGTTTTTTTTTTTATGTGTTCTACTCCAAATGTTATATCCTTGGTTTGGTTTTTA